TTGTTTAGTTTCATTTTCTTTTTATTTCATTTTCCTTTCACCTTTTTCTTCCTTCATCGGAGGTTTTTGAGCGATTTCTTAAGGAAGCATTTTTCGACCCATGTTTATCGGAAATTTTTTGTTCAGAATTAAATTTCCTATAAGATCTCAAAGTCTAGCTGGAACGTTCGGGACCACCCTGTATATCCATATACAGGGTGGACCAATAACTCTGTTCACCTGGAATATCCGTTATTTTTAGAGATACAAAAATTTTGTACTTGTAAAATTGTACGGTACCAAGAGGGCCGTAATATGCTATTAATAATTTTTTTGTAGGTGGAGGCGCTTCAGAGATTCAAAGTCATCTCTATTTTTTTAAATGGTACCCCCCATTTTTTATTACTTATTCTTATAGCTTATCTCGAGTGCTTTTCAAAACACTATAATAAAGTATTTCTTCATTGAGTATTTTTTGAGTTATGAGGGTTGAAATCATTTCTTAATTTTACATAAACCATAAAATATCTAGTAAAATATTCATTTTTCGATTATCTTACCTTAATGCTTTTATGTACAAAATAATGAGAGGAATTAATTGGTGTAAAGAAAACAAACAGTTGTTGTTAAGAAAAAATATGAATAATGAAATTAATTGCAAATTACATATTTTTTTTAATACAGCTATTTAACGGCTCTCTTGGTACCGTACAACTTTTACAAGTACAAAATTTTTGTATCTCTAAAAATAATGGAGATATTCCAGGTGGACGGAATTATTGGCCCACCCTGTATATATAGTTCTTTTTCAAGAGAAACTTATTTCCTTTATTAAAAAAAAAATGTGGATTAAATATAAGTTCGGATGATTATGTGTGAGAAGGATGATTATTTTATATTATAAATTTTATGTAAAGATGTTCCGACGCAGAGCAAAATCGGATATATCTCGCGGATATATCATTGTACCCGGAAAGAGCGATATCATGATACCACCCACATGTTTAATATATAACGTTATGTAGTAGTAGTAGTAGTAATGCTTTATTGATCCCCTTAGGCCGAGTCTACAATAGGTAATTTAAGCCATAAGCCTTAAAAGATTGACCAATCACAGTCAAGTATGAAGAGAATACTCGATTGTGATTAGTCAATTTTTTAAAGCTTAGGGCATAAATTATCTATTGTAGATCCGGCCTTAAGCCAGATCTACATTGGTTGTATCGTAACGTCGCAAGTCGTAAGTTGTAGGCAAATTGACCAACCATAGTCGATTATTTTTTAAATAATCAACCATGATTGGTCAATTTGCCTATTATACAGGGTCGCCCCAAACGTTCCAACCAGACTTTGAGATCTTATAGAAAATTTAATTCTGAACAAAAAATTTCCGATAAACATGGGTCGAAAAATGCTTCCTTAAGAAGTTATCGCTCAAAAACCTCTGATGAAGGAAGAGCAAAAGGTGAAAAGAAAATGAAATAAAAAGAAAATGAAACTAAATAAATTTCTTGAAAAAAACGACAAAAATAAAAATCTTTTTCTTTTATGAAAATAAAATAATTTTTTTTTTAATTAACTTCTATTTTATTTTCATAAAAGAAAAAGATTTTTATTTTTTATTTTTATCGTTTTTTTCAAGAAATTTATTTAGTTTTATTTTCTTTTTATTTCATTTTCTTTCCTTTTGCTCTTCCTTCATCAGAGGTTTTTGAGCTTCTTAAGGAAGCATTTTTCGACCCATAGGAAATTTTTTGTTCAGAATTAAATTTCCTATAAGATCTCAAAGTCTTCCTGGAAAACGTTCGAGGCCACCCTGTATAATAAATTATAGTACCTGTTTGAGAAAATAGATAGAAAAATATGCATAGGAAAAATAAATCTGAGAAGGTACGCTTATGAAGGTCGACAATATGCTGATGCAGTATTGTGCTTTGTTAAATATGCAAGGGAAAAATGCTTTTGCCCTTCTTTTTTAGAATAGAAAAAAAATAAGTGCGCGATAAATATTCCATCAAAACGGATCCTTTATGCTCTAATTGCATTTAATTATTAGCAATTGAGAATTACATAATAAAATAAAATAAAACATATTGATACACAAAGCAAGACAGATTGCTGTGAAAATTCAATATAAAATCTTTGTTTAAACTTACTTCTAAATATTTTTAAAACTTATTAATATATAAATAACAATAACAATAATTAATAAATAAATAACGATACGTTTAAATAAAATGTTATATGGTTCGTCAATTCTATACACATTTACTTTTGCTTCCTGTTGAAATCGAAATTTCTAATTTGAATATATAATTATTCCTTTTTTATATATATGTAACTAGGGTACTAATTACGTAGTAATTACATTTTAATCACATAGCTTGAATTTCTCGATAAAATACACTGATAATTTAGGGTGAATTATATTAGGCTAGTCAAGCATAACATTGGACTGGTTAGATAAATAGATAACCAGTCCAATGTTATGCTTGACTAGCCTAATATAAATATAGATATTTATATGTGCAACAAGTTAAATCAATAACGCCAGTGACCATTCCAAAAGATATAATCCTTTAAACGAGCTTAAAAAGACTGATTAGTTTGGATTTTATATCAGTTAATTGAAAAAATAGCTCGTTTTAAAAAATTATATCGAGTTTTAATATACAAAAAAATTCAATTTATACAAGGTGTCCCGAAACTACTGCTTCATATTTTAAAGGTAGATTCTCTGGTCAATTTAAAAACGATTTTTCCTCAGCGAAAATATCGAGGCACTAATAGTTTTCGAGTTATAAATGATTAAAAATAAAGGGTTTTTCGTAAACTAAGTCTTATGGGAATAAAATATTAATAAAGTCACATTCTTTAGTTAATTTTAGTTAGAGTTTACTTCAAGAAAGAAATGTTTCAAACAAAGTTGTATGGCTTGAAGGGGGCCATCAGATAGTGGCAATTATTTGACATGGGAGAGTCATTTGAAAGTCACATGAAGATCACCGTCAATTTCTTAAATGGAACTCCCTATTTTTTATTAAATATTCTGGTAGCTCACGTCGAGAGCTTTCCAAAACACTATAATTAAGTTAGTTTTCATTAATTACTTTCCGAATTATGAGGCTTGAAATCATTTCTTAATTTTATATAAACCGTAAAATATCTTGTAAAATATTCATTTTTCGATTATCTTACCTTAATACTTTTATGTACAAAATAATGAGAGGAATCAATTGGTGTAAAGAAAAAACGTAGTTGTTTTTAAGAAAAAAATATGTAATTTGCAATTAACAATTACATATTTTTTTTAAAACAACTATGTGTTTTCTTTACACTAATTGATTCTTCTCATTATTCTGTACATAAAAGTATTAAGGTAAGATAATCGAAAAATGAATATTTCACAAGATATTTTACGGTTTATGTAAAATTAAGAAATGATTTCAAGCCTCATAACTCGAAAAGTACTCAATGAAGAAATACTTTATTATAGTGTTTTGGAAAGCTCTCGAGATAAGCTACACGAATATGTAATAAAAAATAGGGGGTTCCATTTAAGAAATTGAAGGTGACCTTTACGTCACCTTCAAATGATTCTTCCATGTCAAATCATTGCTACTATCTGATGGCCCCCTTCAAGCCATACAACTTTTGTCTGAAACATTTCTTTCTAAAGTGCATAGTTTATAATATTCGACTGGTCCGGGACGCCCTGTATATTGTGATCGCCGACAGCCACGTTCTTAGTAGGATCCCGGGCGGGTGCCATATCTGACTCTTCGTCCTCGGACTAGGTCCCTGTACAGAGGACAAAGAGCCAGGTATGGCACCGAGGATTCCTAGATCACCAAGGGTCTCTACTTCGCACGTAGGGGCCCTGTACCAGCCATACCAAGTGGCAAAGTGGGCAGATATTGTATAGGTATTGTGGGCCTTATTGTATAGCCCTGGGCGCGATAGCGGCAAGATTTTGCTTTCGGTTCCGAGTGTCACACCGGAAGCAGTATCTTGCCGCCATCGCGTGGAGGCATTTCCGAGCAAAATGGGCGGTAGAACCGCAGTTCCAGCACCTTGGCGGGTCCTCGGTTGAGGATGATTCGGCGACAGCCACGTCTTGAGTCGATAAGAGAGTCTCATTCTGGGCGAATTCGCGCACAAATGTTCTTCTGAGCTCGCCCATCGCCGTCCAGAAGACACGTAGGTCATCGACAGCGTTGAGAACGTCGCGATATTTTCTCTGTCAGTTTTCTCTGCCAATACTGGCTCCCGTGCGTAGGGGATGATCCTCGGCTCCTCCTCTCGCCTTGACTTAGGCTGCGACACATGACGACACTTACAATTAGACAAAGACGCGACTATTCAACAAGAGCGCCCGCGCCAGAGTCTATATAATGTATTTATGTTATGTATTTTGTCATATTATTCAATTTCTATCTTACGAAGGAAAATCTGTCTTCGTTTTTTTAATCTAAATAGCTTATATATTACATTACTGAAGGTCTCTTGTAGAATAAAATCTAATATAATTAAGTATAACATTTGTACAAAAAAAAATTCATCTTGTATAATAGAGTTGTTTTTTTCCTATATAATTACTTAATAATTATTAATAAAATAAATTAAAATCAAATTCTTCTTAATTATTTTAAAGTAAATTAAAACCAGATTTATAAAATAAATTAAAACCAGATTCTTCTTAATTATTTTAATAAGTATATAATGTACCATATCACATTTATCACATGATTACGTTCAAATATTTATAAATATATAAATGTATACAAAGATTTTTTTTTTAATACAAGATAAAGAAAGATCAAATTTGCATATCCAATTTTTCTGATCAAATTGTTTTTGTATGTAAATTGTTATCAAATATAAATATAAGTGAAAGAATTCTATACTGTATAACTATACTAAAATAAATCTAAATAAAATAAAACTATTTCAAAATAAAAGATAAAATTATTCAAATAATAGATAATATTTATAATAGATAATATTTATAATAGATAATAGCTAACAGATAATCGTTGCACTATTAATTAGTAATTTGTTTCAAATGTTTTCTGAAAATGTTCCTGAAGCTCCTTTAAATTTCTAAAAACATTTTCCTTGGGTATATTGATATTGTCAATCTCATTCTCATGTTTAATCAATAAAGCATTCCAACCAGCATTTTTCGCTCCAAAGTAATCATTGTCCAGTCTATCACCAATATGCATTGCTTCCTGAGGTGATATTTCTTCTTCTCGAAGATGCTTCACTAATTTTAATGCTTCCTCGAATATTTGTAAGCTCGGCTTTTCCACACCAAGATTATATGAGGTCAAAACAAAGGTAAAATATTGGTGAATTTGAACATCCTTGAGAATTGATTCTAATTGTTCGTCAAAATTCGAGATAATACCCAGAATGATGTTCTTTTTCTGCAGGTAATTGAGTAAATCAATGGTACCAGGATATTTGTGCCAGCATTTGCCGGTGCCGTAGCAATTTATCAGACTGTCGGCAACCTAGGAAGGAAAATAATAAATAGTGTCAATGATCATAAAGAAAATAAAAATTTTCAGATTAAATGTTTAATATATAAATATATATGTTTATAAATAAAATTATAATAATTATATTAAATGAAAATAGATAATAAAAATGTATGTGTAAGATGACTTTTATTGATTTTCATTTGCATTAAAATTAGAATAATACAATAATATGTATCAAGAATAAATAAAAAGTATAGAGAAAATAAAACAAATATTTTAAAGACAGAAGATATATATATATATATATATATATATATATATATATATATATATAGGGTGTATCTTAAAAAGCTCCCACTAAGCAAATAGCGTTATTCCTGATTAAAAATTGAGTCGAAAAGTCCTAAACCATTTTTTTTTCCAAGATTCATTAAATAATTAATCAGATTTAGGTATTAAAAAGATTTCTGAAAAGAGGAATTGTTTAAAAATTAACACAAAACAATTTATTTTTGCTTATCCAAATCTTCATATATTGATAACTTCATATATTGAGGAAGGTTGTCTTCTTATTGGCGCGACTTTATTCATTAATTACTGCTTTATTAAGCATTATGGAAAAAAATGGTTCAGGACTTTTCGACTTGGTTTTTAATCAGGAATAACGCTATTTGCTTAGTGGGAGCTTTTTAAGATACATCCTGTGTGTGTGTGTGTATATATATATATATATATATATATATATATACATTAATATAAATAAATATACAGGATGGACCAATAACTCTGTCCACCTGAAATATCTCCGTTGTTTTTAGAGATACAAAAATTTTGTACTTATAAAAGTTGAACGGTATCAAGAGAGTCGTAATATGTTACTAATCATTTTTTTGTAGGTGGAGGTGCTTCAGAGATTTCAAGGTCATCTCCATTTTTTTAAATGGAACCTCCCCTTTTTTAATTCCTATTCTTATAGCTTATCTCGAGAGCTTTCCAAAACACTATAATAAGTATTTCTTCATTGAGTACTTTTTGAGTTATGAGGGTTGAAATAATTTCTTAATTTTACATAAAATATCTAGTAAAATATTCATTTTTCCATTATCTTATCTTAATGCTTTTATGTACAAAATAATGAGAGAAATCAATTGGTGTAAAGAAAAAATAGTTGTTTTAAAAAAAAAAATATGTAATATCCAGCTGGACAGAGTTATTGGTCCATCCTGTATATATATATATATTAATATAAATAAATATATATTATTTATTTATATATATATATATTTATTTATTTATTTTACACTTGTTACAAATTTATATAAGTATATCATTGTATCTTTTGATAATAATCGTTTATAGTACCTTGTTCAATTTGTCCTTTGATACAGACGCATGTTGATCTCTAAATACATTATACACAATTGTTCTCCACCAATTCTCCCATCCCAAACCAGTGTGCTTGCCATATATCGGGTGTTCCTTGCTAAGTTGCACGTAATTGGTTTTGAAACTTCGCGCTAATTTTTTAGGCTCGACGAGCAGACCATGCTGAGAACCAATCTCGCTGTAATGCTCTTCGAGTTTTGTCATCAACAACGTGTCGGTCACGTCGAAGGTCACAAGACGAGGCCGAATACGATTAATCATATTCTTAATAAATTTCAGATGATTCTCAATAATTGGAAAACACTTCACAGATAAGAGCTAAAGCGCACAAGCCGCAGCCGTAAACATGTAATACATACTCGTGTACACAACTCACAAGGATACCAGTGATATCTGGCGATGAAGATTAGAATCCGGTTATCGATCTCTGTTGATGCGGTGTTATCATCATAGACATAAAGTACCTAGATGTTCACGTTGCTTACACTTTCTGCTCTTGGTGCTCTCTTTCTCTCTCTAACGCTCAAATATTTAACTATATTTAAACATACTTGATAATATATTAAAATTAATTTACATACGTCCTTTTACATTCTTTATTTTATTATGAATTTCTCTGATCAACACAATATATAAATATATTAATATTAATATTAATTATAAATATATTAATATTAATTATTACAATATTGATATTAATTACAAATAATTAATATTAATATACAATATTAATATTAATTATTATAATATTAATATTAATATACAATATTAATATTAATTATAAATATATTAATATATTTTTACAGCAATTATTAGTTTTGTCATTAAAATTTTATATATTTGCATAAACGATCGATTAATGGAGTAATTTCGCTCTTATTTTAATAAAAAAAAACTTGTTATATCAATATGGAGAGAATTGTTTTTTTGTCTTGTTTTATCACTATTTTACTTCTATCAGAGCTTCTATTTATAAGAGACTAAATTTTAACTGACTTTAGTAAAGAAAAATAAAACAAATTTTTTAATCAATCTAAAAAAATATTATTTCTCCCCATATTGAGAAAATTTCGTTTTCATAATGATCTCTTTTTTTAATTCATAATCAAATAAATTAAAGTAAAATGTCTTAAACAGAGAATAAAATTAAAATTAAAACATATGAAGGAAACATATGAAGGAAACATATGAATAGAGTTACAACTAATAAGTCTGTCATTACCGAACATAGGTTGAATTTTGATCATGAATTCAAATGGGATGAGGTCAAGATACTAGATAAAGAATCCTTTTATAATAAAAGGCTAATTTCCGAAATGATATGCATTAAAAGACAACATAACGGTTTAAATTTACAAACGGATACAGATTGTTTTCCTGACATTTACAACGATATAATAAATAAACTTCCGAATATCTGAGGGTCATACACAGAAATCTACACGACCGTATGTACGTTATTTTTTGTCACTTATATTCCTGCCTTCGTAAGACAAAGTGTTACAGAGGTTTTTTTTTTATAACGAAATGTTAACATACTTGTTCACCTGACGATTCTTTTAACGGTTAATCATGTTCAACTTTGTTCTGCATAACAATGTAAGTTATTTTTATCTTTTTTATCTTATTGATTTTTATGTCCTGATAAATTGTTAAATTCCGCTCGGTTATTGTATAAAAATTATTTTTTTATTTTTTGTATTTTTCTGATTATCATTTTCTTACTTTAATTATCTATTGTTATTGAACCGCATATTTTTTCGATTTTTATGCTAATTACATTGTTTTATACTTTTGACTTGCTTGTTTCTTATTCTTTATTTATTTATTTCCCAGCTAGTTTTTTTGTTTTCTTTTTAAACCAATTATTATTTTTTAATCATTATTTGACCCTCTATAAATACTTACATTGCTAAATAATTTTCCTATTGTCTATTTACTTTTATTTTCACACGGTCTTACAGATTCTCTGATGAACCATACTCAACTTTGGGCCAATTAACCCAAATGAGAGGTGTTTCACTCATTGAAAATATTTGGAAGCCGTTCGAAACAAACCATGAACAACCGTTGCGTCTGGAGTTGCATCTCCTCTAAGATTAGTATGCTGTCTACGATTTACTATGCACAACCGTGGCATTCGGAGTTGATCTCCTTTCTGATTAACATTTGTTTATATATTTTTTCTGCTTTTAATTTCCGTTTTCTACCTCTGCGAACCGCAGAGGTTTTATAGATGCTCTAACTTCGTTTCAATATTTGCGCTGAAGATGACTTAAAAGTAAGTCGAAACGTCCGCACCCAACTTCAATTTTCTTATATTTTTTTTTATATTTATTACATCGATTTTGTTTTTTGATATTGTATTTTAAATTATGAAGATATATTTTGACTAATTAACCTACACCATTATTTTGATCTCTAGCTCTCTACGCCTAATTGACCACTTTTATTTTTAAAATTAAAAATTAAATTAGAGATTAAAATTAAAGGAACGATCAATTTATAAATAAATTGATTTATTACAAAGTTGTACATGGATACAAGGTGGCGCATTTCTTTCTTATATTATATAAAAAGGACCGAACGTCCCGTCTGTTGCACAATATTCCGGTCAATGAGAACCGACGAGATTATCGTCGACAATATAATAATAATAATATTCCCTATAAATATACACAATAATTGGAATTACTTTATACATATATATGTAATGTAATAACTATAAATATAACGACGTAATAATAATATATAACAAATATAATATTAAATTGATTAAAAAATTCATTCGTTTTAATTTATTAATATAGTATATTAATTTAATGTTTCCATTCAACTTTATCAAAACTTTGTAGAAAAAAACGAATGAATTTCTTTGATCAACATAATACATAAATATATTAATTTTACGGCAGTCGTCAGTTTTGTTATTAAAATTTTATAATAATTTTATAATATTTGCACAAACGATCAATTAATGGAGTAATCTCGCCCTTATACATACACGCATATGATATGCACATGTACATATTTCAGCATAAAAAGTTATTCAGATATATTGGTCAGTCTCACAATCGTTATTTTAGATATTTTTTGTTTTTGCAAAATTTTATGTTTTCAATAATTGCTTAAATTTTTCAGAAGTTTATGAATTTTTAGTTATTTTGATAGATATATATTTATAAAAGAATTATATATATATATATATATATATATATATATATATATAAAGCTATTTTTTGTATGTATGTAATATATTAAATTTTTATTATTGAAGTTTAATATAAAAATTTCAAAATCTCCGAAAGGCTTTAAAGAACATGAGCAAACTAAACTATATAACGGATTTGTGCGGACATTCAATAATTAAATCCTCTTTAGATATTTTATCAATTAAATTGTAATACGCGAGAACACGCGCTTTTATTATGCTACAATATGTATATATATGTATTTTTTTACAAATTTTATTTAAAAAATGTATATATGTATTTATACATATATATATATATATATATATATATATATATATATAATATGTGTACAATTTCTAATCAGTTTTGAAAATAAAACGAAATATATAATCAAGTTTGAATTAAAATTCTTTTTTTTTTTTAATATTATTATCGCGTGTTCTCGCTAATTATTAATTATAAAAGTATATAAAAATTAAATGTTTGTTATCATGATATCAATAATCTGTTGATGAAGAATAAAAATTTACATAAAATCGCGAACAATACATACGATATCGTCAATAGAACTAATGATATAAAGATCTGATACGTGATTTCTAAATTTATTTTATAAATTTCGTATATTTTTTTTATTAATGAATAAGAAAAATAGCGTTTTAGAATCATAATCCAAAGAAAAAGTAATATTTTTTGTTGCACAATTTTAATAAGTTTAAAGTATAATTATTTTTTTTTAACTGTAAAATCACATTATTGATTTTTCTAAAATACTTTAATCATAAAATTTCATTTTTACTGTAAAATTACATATACAATTATGTATAAAATAATTGTATAATTTTGTCTCTAAATTTTTTAGAATTACAGAATTTTTGTAATATGATATTAAAAGAGCGTTCTTTATTTAAATAACTTCGTTGATCTTTTGCTCCTTTCACAATTGTCTTCACAATCTTTGTATGTAATTTTAAAGTTATTGTATCTTTATATATGTATATTTTATTCATTTTTAATTTTTTATTAAATTACTAATTTAATAAAAAGTTGATTTATTAAGTAAATCTTTGTATCCTGTACGCTTTTGTTTGTATATACACAATATATCTTCATATCTTTCTCATCACAATAGAATTTTAATTTGAATTTATTTTTCTCCTCTATTGTGAAACTCGAGTATTTTCTTAAATACTCGAATATTTTTCCATTATTATATTGATACGCCATTTATAACGCCTATTTATGTAATTATTTTGCAATTCTTTCTTTTAATTAATATCATTGATAAAATTATTAATATAATATTAGCTAATTAATATCAATCAATTAATATATCACATATCAATATATATATATATATATATATATATATATATATATATGTATATATATATATATATATATGTATATATATAAATATTTACTAATATAATTAATCAATATCAATTTAATAGCTTTAACATTATATCAATTGATTACTTAATAATACAAAAATGCACAATTTTCATGTGTTGATAATTATTATCATCTCTATTATCTCTTAATTTTTTGTTTGTATGTTAAAAACAATTATATCCTATAGAAATCGTGAAGCAACTTTACTGATTCGTATAAAAATATATGTCTACACAATTTATATATATAAATTACATAGAAAAGGAATATTAAATTTAATTGCGAGAGTCGGCTTATCAAATAAATAAATAAAACAATATATATATATAATCCAGACGGAATCATAGCAGTTCTTTTTAGCTTTATAAAACATTAAATGCTAAATTTAATTTAAAAATGTAATTTAGACTTAAATATTTTTTAATAAAAATATTAAGTGCTAAATTTTCATTTTAAATATAAACTTATATTTAAGTTTGTGAGCTATATGTGATTCAGTCTCGATTATCACAAATATTAACTACAATAAATCATAATCATGGGGAGACGATATAATAATTATCAGTATTATATATTTCACAGTAAAGAAATAATAAGAGATCATACAAGAAATGTACAATTGTGATCTATCGCGAAAAATGTGATTTGATGTTATTCTTTGATAGATCAAACTTTTCGATGTTTGATTATTGAAAAAACTGTTATCACTTCCTGGTTATTACGATTGTCAGTGAGTTTTCGCAAATATATTTCGATGGGCAATTTAAACGAGCTTTTTTCCCCGATTTTTCAGACAATGTTTTGCGATTCAATGGCGGATCGAAAAATTCGAGATCGAGAACTTTGCATTTCAGGAAACTTTGTAATATATAAATAATTATATATAATTGCCGGCAATTATATATATATTTTTAAATTAAAATTTATGTTTTAATTTTAATTAATTTATATAATATTGATGTCAATATATGATTTTATCAAATTTTTAAATTGTTTTGATACTATAAAATTTTAATTTAATTTTATAAAATAAATATATTTTTCGTGTTTTCATTATAATGAAACCTCAGATCTCAATAATTTTGATTATTATTTGGAAGAACTTTACAATTACCTCCAGTTTCAATTCTTTTCTTGCACAAGATAAAAAATAATGACTCGCGTAGCACTGGACGGGATCGATAATGTCTATTGCACATTTCTTATTTTTATAGTAGACCAAATCCAAACACTTTAAGCCGAGTCATTATATTTAATTTTTCTTCTCAAATGTGTAATTATTGACAGATCATGTGGTCCTCTATATCCAAAATGTGAGACAGAGAAAATATATTTTATTTTTCGAGTATTTAGATATTTTACCATCGCATATGCGATATGTATCATACTCTTTAAAAAATGATTAAATACAATAAAATTCTTGACAAGTTTTGAAAAATTGGCGCTTAATTCCAAATTTTTGGATTTTCAATTGGTTATCAATTCTTAATTTAATTAATTCTCGATGCATTGATTCTTGGGTCTATAGATACATAAATCTTGGCTTTATTGAATCTGTTTAAATATTAAGTTGATTGTTCGAAATTTTCTTATAAAGTGATCAAACAAATGAACAAAATTTTTTTTATCAACTTCATATATCAAACAGATTTTAATTATTTTCATTCATTGCAACAGATATATATTATTTCAAACTATTGCATATTATCAGTTTTTTCTTTTTTTTTTGTGCGTGTAATTAAACAAAAAAAACCTGAAAACAACCCCATGATCACAGTTGCGATTTGTCCTCAGCAGGTACTCGGCTTGTACATTCTTTAGCCCGTTCTTTTTTTTCAGGTTTAGCGTTCAATATCAAGAGAATAGTCAGAAATTATTAGAACTATTTTTATATTAAATGACTCTGACTTGACATTTCCGACTATCTTCTTTTGTTCAATAAAGATTTGTACAGTTATCATCATTTATTGATTTTGTGATCAGCTTGGAATCAATCTTTCATTTTCATGAATAAAAAATTGATTACAAATAGGTAGGAAAAATCTCTAGATGATGAAAGGCAATCTGGAAGACCTTCTATAAAATCAGTATTGAACAAATTTTTCGCTAAACATGTAATTAAAATGTGCCCATCTTTTCTTTATTAACTAGGAACTAACAGTTTTTACTTATTTACTCCTCTTTTCCCTCCTTATGTGTCTCTCTCTCTCTCTCTTCTTTCTCTATAGAAATATCTCTAAGTATTCTCTAAAATTACCTATCAAAAAATTCGCTGGTCCAGTTTGCCAATCTGATTGCCACTTTCAATTTGTCTATCTAGATCTATCTCCTTTTTTCCTGTCATTTTTCTTCCTACTAATACTGTCTAATACAGACTTTGTCAATCGCCCTGCTGTATGCTTGTCTTTATTTATTGCTATCGATTTGGGTCATCAATGTAACCGCCATTTATTAATTTACGTCATGGAGCGTCGTAACTTGAAAATAAATGCAAAAACCCGTTTCTTTTTTTCTTATTTTCACATTTTTGGACCCGGGCGAGAATAGATTGGCAGCTTGGAGCTTGTACAAGGTGTCCTAAAACAACTATCAAATATCCTTCTAAAAAATCAACTCTATTAGTTAATTTAGATTATTTTTGTTTGGATAAAAAAATGTCGAAATTCTATGAATTTTTCACCCTACATATATTTGTAATTAAATTTTAAATTATTAAGTCGTATATGAAAAATCTTATTTTTATATTAAACAAAATTTTCACATAATTTATAAGGAATATAATGGATACAAATTCTAACGATTTTGACATTTCTCATATAATGAGAAATCATTTTCATATAATCTCACCTTAAATATAGGAAATTTAGAAGTAAAAGGAAAAACGATTAATTTTCCAAAGAAATTTAAAAACTTTAAGAATTCAAGAAATGTTTAAGAACAAATTTCTTATACAAATATCTATAGAGCTGAAATTATATTTAAAAAGTTAAAAATGTTAAAACTCGACATTTTATAAATACAATAAATAACTTGTTTTTTAAGTTAGACTTTCATAGATAAATATTAGTTTTATAATCTTTTATCAGGATTGTTGGCTTTGGTTGTTCTAACACATCTTGTGTACATTTTTAAGCAGTGGCACTTGAGTGTAGAAAGGCGAGAGCGCAAACCACCAATTCGAACCTGTTCGGTGTAAGAAATCTGAGCGTCTCTTACTTTACAATATCATCACAGTACTTTGATGTGTGTTTATATTGCTAAACCTTAAGACTTAAAGATTATCAGCTCGAAAAATGGCGGTTTACGTCAGTCCATCGCTTAACTTATTATTCTTAACATGATAAATTGCATCCAAATGGCATTTGAATCTTCAAAGTGAAGATTAAAATCCTTTCAGAGCCATTTTGCTGCCCGGGAATAGTGCATTTAATTAACTTAAGCTTAAATCTACCTGCATATACAGGGTAACCCATATGTATTGCTCTAAATTAACATCTCAAGATATGCTAATTTTAAAAAGATGTTTTAAATGAAAAATCTTTAGATTTGAAAAGACAGAGAAAGTTTAGTAGTTACAAGATATTTTCCTCATAAATGATGCTACTTTCAAGGATTGAACACATTTTCATAGTCAGTGTTCTTTTATTATATGTTATTCTTTAATATTTTAGAATTACAGAATATTCCTTTAAAATCTTGAAAAGATTCTTTTATTGCATTAAAACAATATATTTATTCTTATTTTTTATGTAAAATATTAGTTTATATAAATTATTTTTATATAAATGAGAAGTTTTTGTTATTTACTCAGCATTTCCGAATTAATAATATTTAATAATAAGAGAAAATTATTTAAATGCTAAGATCAAAAATTTTATTTATATTACATAAAGTTAAAATTCGAATATTCTTCACAAGGAAAAATCGTCTTGAAATTGAAATTCAAAGAATAGTTTAAGAATTTAAGAAAAGTTTAAGAATTTTTTGTAATCTAAAATAACCTTTTCAAAAAAAAAATAAATATTGCAAGAGTTAAATGTCAAAAAGTAGCCTATATATCTCAGAATTGAAAAATTAAAATTTTTCATTATAAAGAAAAAAGTTCTTTTTCTAAATTGAAAATCTTTCAATTATAAAAATATTTTAAATTGGAATTTCACCTATGAATTGAAACCTGAGTAAAAAAAAATTATTTAATGATTCATATGGATACCCTGTATACGTAAAATATATATATGTACATATTTATGCGTATTTTTTCATAAGTAAAGGAATAAATTAACCTTCTAATCGAAGGGCCGACATTAATTGGAGACCGACTGGAGTGACTGATTACTGACATTGATAGTTTGCAAAGATTTACAATTCGATAATTGTTCAAGCTCTATGGACCTTACAGGTTCTTCCATCTCTACATCTTCCTTGATCTGAACATTTTTTGCCATCTTGCTTTCATACTGATTGGAGGACTCGTCATAACCGGAATCAGATGACGAATCACTGAATGTCTTGGTGCTTTGTTTGGAATTAGTCTCTGTATTTGATGATGATGTAGATTCGACGCTATGAGCAGGACTAACAGATGCTGAACTGTGAGTAGGACTGACGGATGCCAAAGAAGCAGTGAGCTGCCGTCTGGTAAAACAGCTTATGCAAGGTTTGAGGAAAGAAGGGTACATTATCACCTCACCATTGGCACCTTTGAAGATGTTACCACAACAAATTACTTCCCTAAACAGAAAAAAATCCATAATAAGTACATTATGCCTTCTCATTATTGACATCTTTAAAAATACCATCACAACAAATTATTAAAAATACCAAGTAAATGCAAATGTATAAAAATATATATCTATAATATGAGAATATTAATAGTATTTTTAAAACTGTATAATAATATCTACAAAATTATATAATTATACATTTACAAAAATTTTGAAATGTGATATGAATTACCTTTTGTAATATGATAAATCGATGAAATTAACATTATCTTTCTCAATATGATCTTCAGAAGAGAGATCCAGTTGTTTTTCATTAGCATTAATATCGTCGTCGTCTGAAGCGCTTTCTGATCTGCTTGAAGTTTTGCTATCCGTTAATCTGTAATCTTCTGCAATAATAAAAGGAACATTAAACTATGCAAATATTAGCAAATATTATTTGAATAGAAAATTTATTTTTTCATTTTTGAACTACACATTAAAAATAAATTTAAAAAATTAATATATATACATTTTTTCTATAATCCAACAATTTATTACAATAATTAATTTTCATTAAAAATAAATTCTAAATAATGAATCTAATATAGAACTATTATGTATTATGTAATTATATTAAAAAATATATTGAATTTTTTATATTAGTGTATAAATAAAATATATAAACAAAATCTTGTTTCTAATTTGTAACTAACAAAAAATTGTGTAACTAACCGGTTAAATCGTCACTCATCGCCGGACTTTGTTCTCGATCTCCCTCTGTTTTGATGTAAATATGTTTTTTTTTAACGAGCTTATCAACTTTATCCTTAAGCTTCTTTTTATTTTTTGCTTTAAATTTTGTCAGCGACTTAATACCGGGACCGGCACGCGCATCCACAACCTGTACAAATAAAAGTTTATTTTTGAGAAAAAAAAAAGTAATAATCTAACATTAGAGGATTATGTCTTCAAGTTTAGAAATAACTTTATTATATACTTTTTTAAATATTTTTTTATAATGATAAAAGATGCACATAATACAATTAAAAAAAATAATTAATATAAATAGTGTGTATTCTCTTATTATAAAGTATTCAAAAAATAATATTAAAGTGTTTGTAATATTTTAACTGATTAAAATTTAGTAAAATATTTACTAAAAAATAATATATTCATATAATCTTGAATTTAAATTTACTATTAATATTAATATCAATTAATATAATAGTTTGTCAGGATTGATTACAAGATACTAACATGTTTCCAGTTGCGATTACTTCCTGAAGGTAGCTTTTTGAATCTCTTAACTAGAAGCACACATGCATTGCATATTTCACCACTACGCCTCTCCTCAAGTTGAAAACATGGCATAAAGTCATCCTCATATTTTTTACTGTCTGTAAATCTTGAACTGTAACAAGATTTATAAAAATTTTGTTACAAAAGTTATAAGAATTTATAATATATAAATATGCGTGTAAATAAGAAATAATGTGTATTGTAAGAATTTATAATATATAAATGTGTGTAATATATGTATGTATGTGTGTGTGTGTGTGTGTACTAAAATAATAATATATTATTAAATTATATTAAAATAATCAATCAATATTTAAAATATATATTTAAAATATATATATATAATTATTTTAATATAATTTAAAATTTAAAATATTACAATTACTATAATTTATTACAAATTTGTTATTATTATAATATAAACACACAGATATGACTTTAACAATGTTTCTTTACCTGCTAGACTTGGCTTTACAAATGCAGCAGCCTGTACTAGATCGGTACACCTTTGGTTTGTGAAAACTGAACATCCTGTCTGCTATATGAATTACTATCGTTTCTGTAATTTAAACAACATATGTATAAATATATTATATTTATAATAATATAAACAATTAAATTTTATTTAATAAAATTTATGAGCTGTTTTCCTTCATTGACTTTATTATATTAAAAATTTAAATATGCATTATTCATCAAAATATAATTTGTTATGTCTGCTTAAATCTTTTTTATACAGTATAAATATTCCAAAAATTAAAACAAATATCAAAATAATAAATTGTTAAAAATAAAAGTATACATGCACAAAATAACAGAAATTAAGATTCAACTTGAATGTAAATTAATTTATAAGAATAATTGTTTATAAATTTCATGGTATACATGTATATCAAGAATATTCTCATTTGCAATAAAGAATTAATTTATAAGAGATATATATATATAAAAATTGAAAATAAAATAAAATATTAAAATTTGAACTATTTTTCTACAAATCCAAAATTTATTTATACAAATCTAAATTTCTCATAAATGTAAAACAATTTGTAAATATAGACTTTATCCGAATTTCACATAATATTAAAACAAGTGTCATATAATTGAGTATCGTATAATATTCCAAAAATTAAAACAAATATTAAAATAAAAAATTGTTAAAAATAAAAATATACATGCACAAAATAACAGAAATTAAGATTCAACTTGAATGTAAATTAATTTATAAAAATAATTGTTTATAAATTTCATGATATACATGTATATCAAGAATATTCTCATTTGCAATAAAGAATTAATTTATAAGCGACATATATGAAAAAATTGAAAATAAAATAAAATATTAAAATTTGAACTATTTTTCCACAAATCCAAAATTTATTTATACAAATCTAAATTTCTCATAAATGTAAAACAATTTGTAAATATAGACTTTATCCGAATTTCACATAATATTAAAACAAGTATCGTATAATTGCACAATATGTTAAAGATTGACGATCAAGTTGAAGTTAGACGTGCCTGAAGTTCACCAAGTAACGAAGACGTAGAATTGGCCAAAAAATCTGATCGTAGTAATAAACACGAAAATAACATTAAGTCTGTATAAAATTTATCACGATAATCACTAATTTCATTGAGCGCGATTAGCTTCATGTTTCGTCGAAGAAACGTAAAAAAAGTCGAGATTCGAGCTTCTCGAAGTTAATGGAAGCAACTGCCACAATGTCGACGTAAATCGTAAGTCGTTATCCAAATGTATAAAAAGTGATGCGCCGAACACGATCACATGTGTCTCCTTCCGAAAGAAGAATATCTGTTCCTTTTGATACGCTTTTTCACCTTCTTAATCTTCTTTCAAAATTAACTATTACAATTTACGTCGAAGATGCGTAAAAATCTGTATAAATTTTCGGGTATAAAAATGACGCCGTTTTAATCCGACCTTAATTCTTCCAAAATATAAATGGATATATCTGTCCCTTTGGGATACAAGCAACGCTCTTTTCTCAACTCCACGTTTTAATTAACATCGTCGATATCGAAACGAAAATCACTTCAAACAAGTGTTCGAGAAATAACGCCGATTCTCGACTCGGCCACTTGTTCTTCCAAAATGGAAGAAAAAAATCTGCAAATTGTCTCTCGCTGTCTTGATAGAGCAGCAGCTATCCACTTTCCTAACCCTCGCCGCTTTTCTTACCACCTTATTTAAGGTGGCAATAATCGCAAACTCGTGTTTAACATGTAACGTAATATTTTTAGATAAACACACAGACGCTTGTTTACGATGATACGCTCTCTCAACAGCCGCGACGACGTGCGAGAAGCGTGGCTATTCTATCCACGCACCGGGTAGCGTCACCAAGCGGCGCGCGCATGCGCGTCCTTCGTTCCCCCTCCACGCGCGTCCCGCTTGCGCAAGCGCGTCGCTCCTCCCCCTCCCCTCTGCCGTTCCATATCCTCGTCGAAGAATTTAACTACGTAATTGAAAACGCCGTATTTTGCGCGTTACCTGTCTCCCTTACGAGGGTCTTTTCTTGGGAGGGTCACGATTTCCCCTCGAGCGATTCCGAAATATTAACATAATATCTTGGTTAAACTTCTTTACTCGACATTGTCACCAAATTCTATCTTCTATTTGTTCTGTGATTTTGCTTATCATTTCGCGCGAGTCAAAGCATGACTTGAAGTTCCCTCAATTTGAACAGAACGAAGTTAGATGTTAAACTTTATTCTGCGCTGTTTTTATAGCGTGAAGTTTGCGCGTCGATTTGGGAGGACTAAAGTTTTACTCGCTCCCGTACTCGTAAATATTGATTTATCTAGGTCGAGGAGGATGTTTAAAGATGTTTTGTACCTATTTTCAAAATATTGAGAATTTAATGAAAATTGTACATAATGTCCTTACATATGTTTAGAATCTTCAGTACAATTTTTAAATCGATTCACTAAGGCGTCCACAAATTATAAGGATTTTAATTTGCACCGAATTAACATGTGTTCTTATGGGAAACGTATAACCACATTGATTCAAATGACAAAAACATATGGAAATAATATTCATAGTTTGTTTAAAATTTGCAAAAGTTTAGATACAGAGGAAATATTTGGTCAAATAATATTATACAAGTGCTAATTGGTTCAAAAGATATTAAATATAATTTGATGAAGTTAGCCATGCATCTCTCACAAGGCGAAATTCTCTGCCAAAAGTTAATCATTTCGATTAACAAAATTTGGAATATTTCAATAAAAATATTAAAAAATAAATATTAAAAGAAATAAATATTAAATATTAGAAAATATTAAAAAACACATCAATAAATAACAAAAATACATTTCTGCAACTAAGAACAAATTGTAATATTCCACACAATTTCTCATACTTAAAATACATCAAAAGTGAATATTTGTCAATATTGATTTTCAGCTAGTTTTTGCTGGGATTGTACAAAATATCCTTAAATAAAAAAACTTTTCTATAAATAAAAAAAAGAAATGATGTATAATATTCGAGAAATTGAAAAAAATGTATAGTTTTAAACTTATCTCTTGATCAATAATCCTAATGAATTGATAATGATTTGGAAATCTTGACAAGTGGAAAATATTAATGACACTTGTTGCAACTTTTGATTTTACATTTGATTAATGCTTAGAATATGTATCATTTATATATTCAAAACATACACACAATGGAAAATTAAGGATATTTTGTACCTATTTGCAAAATATTGAGAATTTAATGAAAATTGTACAGAATGTCCTTACATATGTTTAGAATCTTCAGTACAATTTTTAAGTCGATTCACTGAAGCGTTCACAAGTTGTAAGGATTTTAATTTGCTGAAATTATAAGGATTTTAATTTACCGAATTAACATGTGTTCTTATGGGAAACGTATAACACGTCGATTCAAATGACAAAAACACATGGAAATAATATTCAGAATTTGTTTAAAATTCGCAAAAGTTTAGATACAGAGGAAATATTTGGTCAAATAATATTATACAAGTGCTAATTGGTTCAAAAGATATTAAATATAATTCAATGAAGTTAGCCATGTATCTGTCACAAGGCGAAATTCTCTGTCAAAAGTTAATCATTTCGATTAATAAATTTCGGAGTATTTCAGTAAAAACGCAATAAATATTAAAAAATACATCTCTGCAACTAAGAACAAATTGTAATATTCCATACAATTTCTCATACTCAAAATACACCAAAAGTGCATATATTCAAAATCTATATTGATTTTCAGCTACTTTTTACTATTGTACATACAAAACATCCTTAAACAATTTATATTTAATATTTGAAAATTCATCTTTATTGATGACGTTTCATCGGCTATCACTTCCTATCCCTTCCAAGCTAAAAACACTCTCGATATCGTCATATAAAAAAAAAGTATGAGTGCTCGAAAGTTACGCGACACGTAGAAATGTCTGTTTAATGGCATTTAGCAATTTATATGAAATGATTTGATCATTGGGTCTGTTCTTTTCAGCTGCACTGGCTGCACTAGTGCAATTAGTTAGAGTGAAAGAAAGTATGTTTGTCTCTTTCTAACTTATTGCACTAGTGCAGCAGTGTAGCTGAGAAGAACAGATCCATTTTCATTCGTTTATCGCACATGTATTATCGCCAAGCGGTTTGCCGAGCTCTCGCAAGATGTTGTTTACCGAATTTTAAAAGCGGGTCAGCGACGTCACGATCAAACGAGCAGCCAATAAGCTAAGAGGCCGAACGGAGGGTGTGACCGAATTCGCGATCCCGATTGGCCGACAGCGAGAGATCGAAAGAGATGTTAGGCATTGCACTCCCAACAAACTCGTTCTCCTTCGGAACCGACGAGTGCGCACGTGCACTCGTTCACGTATCCATCATTTGCTAACGAAACACTTTCGAATGACAAGGTTAGAGTACCGACAAGTACTCTCGCAAATAAAAGATTCGCTTTTATTGCTCCAGAATGTAAAAGATTTCAGATCATGATCTCTATTTTTCTTTTTTCTTTCTTTTTTTTTAATGAAATTTACGAAAATTTCGTAATTTCAAAATATCCAAGTTATAAAGTCAAGAGTATCCAAAGTTATAAAAACGTAATATACATTCCCGAATTATTCTCAAACTTCAAAAAATGTGGACCACCTTGGTTGAAAAAGGATAGCAGATGCGAATAAATAATCTAATTTTTATACAGATTCTTTTGATTTTATAATTTGATTTAATCCAATTTAGCAATGAAAAAAATGCGCGATTTTTGGGAGCTTTATTTACCGCGAACTGTATTTTCGATCGTCAATCAAGGTTGACCGATCTCTCGAAGGCCATCATTGATAATGGTGCAACATACGATTGCATGTATCTCATTGTGAGATAAGGGAATTCGTATTAAATTATTGATAGCTACTAATTAATTATTTATTTACATATGCGCGTATCCTTATTTTTGTCGCGAAATTTATATTTTTATATGGATAATTCGAAAAATAACACTGGTCAACACTCAAATTTTTTCCTGACATTTAACATGTATTATAGGTTATATCTAAGGCACTGATTACGAAAAAAATACTAGTTTAATTGTATCAGCTCTACTTTTTTTATTTATAAGATATTACAATTTTTTTCAAAAAAAAAAAAATTTTTTTTTTCTATTCCTTTATTATTAAATGCTATGAAACTATCTGGATTATGTAAACAACGTCTCCGAGTTGAAGACATATCGAAAGTTAAAAAAATAATAATTTCGAGTCGAGTAAAACTCAAAAAAACTGCACGTGATGTCTAAAGGGAGTAGTCTAAAAATATTAAAATATAAAAAACAAGAGCTGTTAAAAAAAAAACTACTGTCGTACTCGAAATCAGCACACTTAAATAAGTCCAAAACTGCAAAATTATAAGAGGAAAAAGTTAAAATTTTTTTTTGTTTATCAGTGTAATGTATAATAATGTATTTTTAGAATTATATATTATATTTAATTTTTTTTAAAATTGTAATTCACTTATATATGTATTTATATTTACCTCTACATCTTAAATATCGATTTTGTGAATTATCGAGTTCATAGCTTTCGTTACGCGAGAAATTTTGCCGAAAGAAAATGTGGATAAGCGTATGCAAAAAAAAAAAAAAATAATAATAAAACAGCGTTATTTTGAGAACGCGCAGCGCCTCACATAATAATTCGCACGTTGCACTCTGTTTTGTGCTTTGTGCTATTTTTAGCTCATCCATGTTTTGTCGACATGGCATCGCTGTTTTCTACATTGCGCACTTCATTTCTTCTTTCCCTCCCTCGCTTGCTTTTACCGGTTTTCGCTGCAAATTCTTATCAAATTAAATCGCTTATCGCTTCAAATTAACTGTATTATAGGATTATATTGCTAGATCTCAAAAATCCGTGATTTTAAAGTTTCGGTTGAATTTTATAGATTTTTGGTTCACAGATTTTTAATTTGACAGATTTGATAACCTCTAATGTCCTTTATCGATTAACGAAAGTTGATATTCCTAGAGTGTCTACGTGTCTATTGAAATAGAGTCTATTGTGATTATTAACAAATATCGAGAAATTTGCGCTATTATATATCATAAACTATCAATAATTATACAATATTTTAAAAATTTTAAAAATTAGAAAAGAAAATAAAAGGAATCTGTATCTTTTAAAAAAGAAACAGATATATCCATAAAAAATACTCTCTTAATTAATTAATTAATTGATTAAAGAATTGCTCATTAATTAATTAAAGAATTGCAAAGCATATACGTTTTTCTTCATATTCTGGTGAATTCCGATATTTATTAATGTCATTATAGATAAACTAAGAATCTCCAACAGATTTACAGGTATACTGAACTATACCTTATCTTGATTAAAATTGAGAAATAAATATCTGGAAATAAATAATTAATTTATTTTAATAAATAAATAAATAATTTCCAATCTTTCGAGGTAAAATAAAACGACACGTGTTGTGTTTACTCAGAATTTTCGACAAAAATTGATGTATCTCTCTCTCTCACACACACACTATGCATCTCATATATATATATATATATATATATATATATATATATATATAATATAATATAATAATAATAATAATAATATCCTTTAAAATTAATTTTAAAATATAAATATATAATAATATAAAATTAATTTTAATAATAATATAATTTAATATAAAATTAATTTTAATAATAATATAATATAAAATTAATTTTAAAGGATATATATATATATATTCTTCAAAATTAATTTCTTCAATGACCCATCGCAGAAATTAGCCCTGTCGTGGGAAAGAATTGGTGTTCAATGCGTTGCGATTGCGCGTGCGCATGCGAAGAAAAATGCTAATGCGCTTTCCCCTCATCGCGCACAAAGTTGACGACGCACGACAGGACGACGAAAGGGGAATCGAAGGGGGTGTACGAGCGAAAGGACGTGTACGAGCGTGGACGCGACATGGCGCGTGGCGGACGCCATCGTGGCCCTCATTCTCCCCTCTCTCTCCCCGTCCCCTTCCCGCCAATGAGCGTTCTCATATGGTCAACAGCATGTTAAAACTGACAGAATTCGTACATCATCTTCGTTGAGCAAATATTAATCGATGCGCAATTTTTTCGAATCATTCCTAGAGAGATGTAGGATTTTTTTTTCTTTCTTTTTTTTTTAAATTAAATTTATATATGGATAGGAGGGGGACGCTATCTTCAAGTATAAATCGCTCGACAAAAGTAAAACAAAGCTAAATTGTAATAATAATGAATAAATTATTGAGAAAGTATGTATTAGCGGTAAAAATTGGTGAAAAAAATTGTAAGAAAGGCGAACGGTTAAGGATGTTTTGTACCCATTTCCAAAATATTGAGAATTTGATGAAAATTGTACAGAATGCCCTTACATATGTTTAGAATCTTCAATACAATTTTTAAATCGATTCACTAAAGCATTCACAAATTATAAGGATTTTAATTTACACCGAATTGACATATGTTCTTATAGAAAATGTATAACCACATCGATTCAAATGACAAAAACACATGGAAATAATTTTCAGAATTTGTTTAAAATTTGTAAAAGTTTAGATACAGACGAAATATTTGGTCAAATAATATTATACGAGTGCTAACTGGTTAAAAAGATATTAAATATAATTCAATGAAGTTAGCCATGTATCTGTCATAAGGCGAAATTCTCTGCCAAAAGTTAATCATTTCGATTAACAAAATTCGGAATATTTTAGTAAAAACGCAATAAATATTAAAAAATAGATCTCTGCACTGTAGCTAAGATCAAATTGTAATATTCCAAAATACACCAAAAGTGGATATATTTGTCAATATTGATTTTCAGCTACTTTTTGCCGAGATAGTACATACAAAACACCCTTAAACTAACGCTTTAAATTTAAACTCTCAACTATTAACTTCAAATCATCCGTGCGGCTAAAGATAGATAGGTAGGTTTGAGTTAGAGGTCAGGTTAGGTTAGACTACAGTTGACAATCGAGATGAGAGAGTCGAGGTCTGTTCTTTTTAGCCGCATTGTAGACATCGCGCTATCCCATCGCAATAAACAGAAATGAAATAAATATACGCAACTGTCGAGCGTCACCTCTCTCCAAAATATCGACTTCGAAAATACGGAGAAAATTCATCAAGCACGAAGCGCGGTCGATGCGCGAACAGACCTGACGTTACATCCTCGAGCCAACCGTAAAACGGCGGCGGCATGCGCCATGACAGATGATACTTGCGACGCTTCACGCGCGGTACATATGACACAACTGTACACATGACGCGCACATTAATTATATTTTCGTATATTACAATCGCCAGGGATCGCGAACCGCGCGTATGCTTCACGAGAAATCACGAAGACGATGACGAGGCGTAAAAACGCGCAAAGCTGTCGCGTGAATCCGCGAGAGAAATCGCGCCATAACCCTTGTCTCTCGTAGACGAGACGAGAGAAAGAGAGAGAGAGAGAGAGATGGAGAGAAGAATTCTTCGCGTTCGCGAAGAATTTTTCTTTTTGACAGAAGTGGAGTCGCGGACGAAGTCATCGGATCGCGATGACGATGACAACGACAGCGACGCGGACGACGCGGTCGCGGAAGTCGCGACGCGACAGGTCGGCCGCGAACATATTTGCCAGCCGCGCGGCGCGTTTTGACAAGTATGACAGTTGGCGCCCGGGGCCAGTCTCGCGCGACGCGTCAGCGCGTCGCTCGCTCGCGTCGCGATCGCGCGGATCTTTTACTTTGATAAAGCCGGCGGTTGGGAAGTGGACACTTACCTCGAGACTCGCGGGACAGGTGATCGGCAGCCGGAGACTTTTGAGACGAGGCTGTTTTGCGCAGGCTCTTCGCGCTGCACATGAAGACAGTGCTGCCAGTGTCTCCTGGATGTTAGGGAAGTTTGATGGGGAATAATACTAGGGAATAATAGTGTAGTAATATAGGGCCAATGAGTTTTTGAAGAGAAGCGCTGGTGATTGGTGGTCTTATGTGGTTTTGTCGGTTTTCATGTATGGGGTTTGAGAGATTTTATTTGAGAATGGGACTTGTTTCTTGGATTTTAGAATGTTTAGTAATTTTTCGTTAAATAGGAAAAGTTTCTTATAAATAAGAAAGAAGAAATGATGTTTAATATTGGAGAAATTGAGAAATATGTGTAGTTTTAAAGTTATCTCTTGATCGATAATTCTAGGGAATTGATATTGATTTGAAAATCTTGACAAGTGAAAGATATTAATGACACTTGTTGCAACTTTTGAATAATGCTTAGAATATGTATCATTTATACATTCATAACACAACGGAAAATTAAGGATGTTTTGTACCTATTTTCAAAATATTGAGAATTTAATGAAAATTGTACAGAATGTTCTTACATATGTTTAGAATCTTCAGTACAATTTTTAAATCGATTCACTAAGGCGTTCATAAATTATAAGGATTTTAATTTGCACCGAATTAACATGTGTTCTTATGGAAAACGTATAACCATGTTGATTCAAATGACAAAAATATATGGAAATAATATTCAGAATTTGTTTAAAATTTGCAAAAGTTTAGATACAGAGGAAATATTTGGTCAAATAATATTATATAAGTGCTAATTGGTTCAAAAGATATTAAATATAATTTGATGAAGTTAGCCATGCATCTCTCACAAGGCAAAATTCTCTGCCAAAAGTTAATCATTTCGATTAACAAAATTCGAAAAATTTCAGTAAAAAAGCAATAAATATTAAAAAATACATCTCTGCACTGTAGCTAAGATCAAATTGTAATATTCCACACAATTTCTCATACTTAAAATACATTAAAAGTGAATATTTGTCAATATTGATTTTCAGCTAGTTTTTGCTGGGATATAAAACATTCTTAAATAAAAAAAAACCTTTCTTATAAATAAAAAAAAAAGAAATGATGTAATAATATTCGAGAAATTAAGAAAAATGTATAGTTTTAAACTTATCTCTTGATCAATAATCCTAATGAATTGATAATGATTTGGAAATCTTGACAAGTGGAAAATATTAATGACACTTGTTGCAACTTTTGATTTTACATTTGATTAATGCTTAGAATATGTATCATTGATACATTCATAACACACACACACACAACGAAAAATTAAGGATTATATTTGTAGCACATAATTGTGTAGTAGTTAAGAAACTTAAAAAGAAAAAAAATTTCTAATTAGAAACAAAATTGTAAGGAATATCTGTGCATTGTCATTAATTAATTTTATTCCACAATATCAACTATTAAATATATACATTCTGTAATAAAATATACTTTCAGAATAAATTATTAAAAACGATTTTTCATCGAATTTGCCTGAAACTTTTGAACTGCATTCTCCATTATGTATGTCAACAATTTATCAACCATCAGTATTATCTGCCATCTAGGACTATACGGTGTATCATCCAACACTTCTTTGTACAAGGTACCTTGTGATGTCATGTGATATACTGATTGTAATGTGATTTGTGGCTTCTCTTTTGGAAATGTTGATGGGAGATGAAAATGTATGAGAAAATGAAAGTCTCGGTGCTCCAATAGCATACTAATCCAATTAAATTCTATTGCATCATATTCCAATATGCTCCCACGTTGCGATACAATTAAAACTGTAATAAAACTTTTCCTGCTTTCGAAACTTTGAACTACATTGTGTATCTGCAATGAAAGGCATATATATAAATATTTTCTGTAAACTATATAAATCTTTTACAGTATATACACCTATAGTTTTATACCTTCTCGTCTATAAATTTCTTTACTTCAGGGACATAATCCATTAGATATTTACTAGATGGAAATGGTGGAATATGCAATGATTCGGGCCCACCGAAAATATCTTCCAAGGTCTTAGATAGATAAAGTTGCGGTATAATACGATTCCAATCTGGCCCGTAAAACATGATAATGAGCATAGCTTCGTCATTCTGTGATTTATTAATACGCGGAGGTAATCGAGAATAATCCATAACTATGCGAATCAAAAATCTTGCTTCTGTAGGTTTTGTTCCTAATGGTAACATTATCACTTCTATATCTTCTCTAGATATTTCTGTTTCACCAACAAGTGTGCTGTATTCAAATTGCAAACGATCTCCCTGTTTTCCAAGTAAATGTAGCTGGAAATGAAAAAAAAAAAAAAAAAAATTTATTCAGATAATTAAATATCATACATTTTTATAAGATCTAAAGATATGAGCCGTTTATTTTGAAAGTGACCTAAGTCCATTTATATTTAAATTGAGATATTTAAGAGTTTGCGTTTCAATAAAATTAAAAAAAAAAATAAATTGGACTTAGGCCACTTTCAAAATAAACAGCTCATATATTGAATTTTTTTGTCATTTAAAAATACATATACTCTCATGGACCAATAAACTATATAATGATAATTATTATTTACCTGATGTTCTTTGTAATACAATAATAATTCACTTAGCACATTGAGTAGTGCATCGATGTCATTAGGATTCCACTTAGTAAGACTAGGTATCCAAGTAGATAAAGTGTTAATATCTGGATCTGCTAGGAAACTTTGATCGTTAAATATAAAGTCTGGGCCCATCTCAGGATATTGTGAATCGAATAAGACGCTCCAGACGAGATGCTCTCCAGCATAGGGAATTGATAACTTGAAGCAATCATTTTTGCTTTTATTACAACTCGATGAAACCGAATCCAATTTTATCAGGCCACAACATACTCCTTGAAAAAATTAATAAAAATATGATGAAAAAACTAGAAAATAAATATAAAAAAAATATTATGATAAAAAAACTAGACTTAATTAATGAATGTAATTAAAATATCAAAGAATGTTATAAACTTACCAAGTCTTTTGGTTTGCAAAACACGCTTCAAAAGTGGCTCTATATATGAATCTATAGTGCTTAAGAGAGGATGTTGTTGATTTAGCATCTTAACAAAGTTAGAAAAATAATAATCGCATCTAGATGAATCAATGTTCTAATATATTTTCAGCTGTTGTTAGAGCAAATTCTTAATTTTTATTTCCAAAAGTATACACTGTATATATAATTAAATCGAGATTTTTGTGATGTATCATTTCCTTTTATACAAAATTGTTAAACAATTCACTGCTTATGTACATTTCGAGTTCCATATATTTTCTGCAATGATTCGATCAACAATTAAAAATTGATTCTGACAGGATATGTGGATATTTTGCAATGAAATAATTATATTAAGTAAATACTTCGCAAATCTTTAGACGATGCCGCCAATAATGTTGACTGCTCCTTGACATTAGTCAGCTCAGGTTAATTACAATAAACATTCACAATTTCAATCAGTTTATTACTCTTCCTCGCTTCGTATTATTGCCACGAAAATGAGCGAGACACATTTTCTGAAATTTAGGTTACAACCATAGAGTATGTAAATTCGAGAAAGATGGATCAGGAAATTTCTAAAAATCCCTAATCGATGGCCAATGAAATTCGACTAAATTCGCCATTTTGCAAATTTATTTTTTCTTTTTCTTAAAAAAATTTAACTTGATTTTTTACTGAAAAAATCCAGTAATTTCTTGTTGCTACATTTATTATTTATTTTTTTCTCTGCATATTTGTTATTTAGCTTTGAATAAATATAGCTCTACAAATTTTTACGAAATTAGCAGATGCACTGATTGGTTATCGGATAGAGAATTTTCAGAAAATACGATTTTGCAGACAATCAGTAGGTCCTCTTTCTATTAAGTTTAGAGTTATATTTTATAGCCATCACAAAAAATAAATAATAAATGTAGCAACAAGAAATTACTTGATTTTTCCAGTAAAAAATTAAGTTAAATTTTTTTAAGAAAAAGAAAAATTAAATTTGCACAATGACGAATTTAGTCGAAATTATTTTTGGATGTTTACGACAATTAATCGGATCTCTGATCGAACTGAGCAGTGGTACTCAGCGATAGACTTCCTAAATTTCCCTAGACTAATCCGGATCAATGATGTGTCTCTGAAGTAATCGAATTAGATTAACAGTCATCGAAAGAAATTGCGGTCGAGCTGATCGAAAAAATTGTGAAAAACATCATAAGAAATTATAGAAGATACTTTATTATTCTTTTAATTAATATATCTTTATTTATTAAATATATATTAATAAACAAATGTATTTTACTAGAATAAGATGTTTTCTATAAAATAAGAATAAGTTGTTAATCTAATTCGATTACTTCAAAGACACATCATTGATCCGGATTAGTCTAGGGAAATTTAGAAAGCTATCTATCGCTAAGTACCACTGTTCAGTCTGATCAAAGATCCGATTAATTGTCGTAAACACCCTTTAATTAAAACGTAAGCATAAAGAAATCGACCAATCACGATCGAGTATTGGCCCCTCCAAGGGGCCAATACTCGATCATGATTGGTCGATTTTTTTATGCTTACGTTTTACGTGCTTATGAAATTTTATGTGTCATGACCATTATACACATGTCACATACAGGTCATAGTCCAATACTTCGGCTCGACTAATTTCTTCGAGATGTTGGCCAGTAATTGACGTATCAAGTTTGACTGAGAAAAAGAAGTGTGATACACGTAAACAAAATGCTTTCTCTCGTGAAAAATTGCGTATTGGCAAAACAAGGAGTAAATTATGGTATGGAAAATAATTTTGATTTATTACTTCATTAAATATAATTAATTAAAATAAAGGAAAAAATATAGACTATATGATTATTATTACTATATGATTAGTACAAAGTCCATTTACGTGATAGAGAATAGATATATATTGCGACTATATTTTTATAATCATACGAAATAATTATTTTTTCCTTGGAGCACAAAATTATGCGATGTTTATTTTTGTTATATTTTATAATGTAATCATAACAATATTTACATCTGGCAAACTTAAATATTTCATATGTTTGAATTAGTGTAGTGTTTATTATCCTGATTCGTATATTGCTTTAAGATTTCTAATTATATCTTTGATATTTTTAGCGGAAACTCTTACCCGTTATTCTGGAATTTTCACAAATAAGACTTATTCTACAAAAGGTGATGGCTCAAAAAATATTGTATTCATCGATGGAGTTCGGACTCCATTTTTACAGTCTGGAACTCAATACAAGAATCTTCTGGCATATGAGCTCGCAAGACATTCACTGGTGTAAGTTAAAATCCAATAATACATGATTTATATATTGTATTCAGAAAACAACTTTTATACCTGTATTTTATTTTCTTTTATTGTTAATGTTTATTCCAATTATAAGGATAATAAAAATTATTACTTACTATTTTAAAAATTATTATTTACTATTTTAGGAGCTTGCAACAGAAAATCGGGTTCCCTAAGGAAGTAGTTGATTACATCGTGTATGGCACAGTAATGCAAGAAGTCCGAACTTCCAATATTGGAAGAGAAGCTGCTCTAACTGCAGGATACAGCGAACATACTCCTGCGCATACAGTAACAATGGCGTGCATTAGCAGTAACCAGGCTATCACTACTGGCATGGGTTTAATCGCTTGCGGTGTTTTTGATGCAGTTGTGGCAGGTGGAGTTGAATTCATGTCGGATATTCCCATCCGTCATAGTCGACGCATGAGATCTTTGATGCTGCAAGCCAACAAGGCGAAAACTGTAGGAAACAAATTAGCTCTTTTAGCAAGCATTAGACCAACCTATTTTATACCAGATGTAAGTTGCATCTTTATTTCTGAAGAAAATAATGCGAGATTATAATGTTGCACGTTTTATAATAAAAATATATTTATTATAAAATTAATACAACCTTTCTCGTCCTATAAATGTTCTTTTTATAACAATTTACTTCTATGTAGCTTCCAGCTGTGGCAGAATTTTCAACTGGTGAAACTATGGGACACAGTGGGGATCGTTTAGCTGCAGCGTTCGGCGTGACACGCAAAGAACAAGATGACTACGCATTGCGTTCTCATACTTTAGCCGCGCGAGCTCAACAGCAAGGATTTTTGTCGGACGTAACACCTTATAAAGGTGCTTACATTAATATTTTATTATATTTATATTTATTATATTAATATTATATTAATATTTTATATTAATATTTTATAATTTATTATTATATTAATATTATATTAATTATTATATTAATATTTTACATTAATATTTAACATTAATATTTTTTTTCTCGTTTAATTCTTTCAATATTATATATATATATATATATATATATATATATATATATAATATTGAAAGAATTAAACGAGAAAAAAAATATTAATGTTAGCAAATATAATAAAATATTAATATAATAAATATAAATAAAAATAAAATAAATAAATAAAATGAAATATTATAATAAATATAAATAAAATGAAATATTCGACCGGTCCGGAACTTTTGGGACACCCTGTGTGTATATATATATATATATATATATAAAGAGTGTCCCAAAAGTCCCGGAACGATCGAATATTTGATAAACTATGCACTTTAGAAAGAAATGTTTCAGACAAAAGTTGTAACTTGAAAGGGGCCATCAAATAGTGGCAATGATTTGACATGGGACTTCATTTGAAAGTCACGTGAAGATCACCGTCAATTTCTTAAATGGAACCCCCTATTTCTTCATCGAGTACTTTTCGAGTTATGAGGCTTGAAATCATTTCTTAATTTTGCATAAACCGTAAAATATCTAGTAAAATATTCATTTCTCGATTATCTTACTTTAATACATTTATGTACAAAATAATGAGAGGTATCAATTGGTGTAAAGAAAACACATAGTTGTTTTAAAAAAAAATATGTAATTGTTAATTGAAAAATACTCAATGAAGAAATATTTAATTATAGTGTTTTGGAAAACTCTCGAGATAAGCTACACGAATATGTAATAAAAAATAGGAAGTTCCATTTAAGAAATTGACGGTGCTCTTCACGTGATTTTCAAATGACTCTCCCATGTCAAATCATTGCCACTATCTGATGGCCCCCTTCAAGCCATACAACTTTTGTCTGAAACATTTCTTTCTAAAGTGCATAGTTTATGAAATATTCGACCGGTCCGGGACTTTTGGGACACCCTGTATATACATATATATATATATATATATATGTATGTATATATATATATACACATACACACACACATATATACACAGGGTGTCCCAGTTATCTTTCGTCATTTTTCAAAGACAGATTCTTCAGATCATTTGAAGACGATTTTTCCTCAGCGAAAATGTCAATGAATCATCATTTTTTGCATGTTCCCGATTTTTGTCATCATATATCTTTGCAATTAAGTCTTAAATTAAAACTCAATTAAAGTAAACTCTATTTAAAATTAATCAAAGAATGCGGTTTTGTTAATATTTTATTTCTACAAAGCTTAGTTTACGAAAAACCTCTTATTTCCAATCACTTATAATTCGAAAATTATTATGCCTCGACATTTTCGTTGAAAAAAAATCGTCTAGATGATCTGGATCTGTCTTTGAAAGATGACGGAAGATAACTTGGACACTCTGTGTATATATATATATATATATATATATATATATATATATATATATATATATATATATATATATATACACACAGGGTGTTCCATGACTGAAGGTTCATACTTTAAGGGCGTGTTGCTGATGCCATTTAGAGTAAAAAAAGTCTAATAAACATATGTCCGCAAATGCTTCCTGACAGAAATACAAGCATTGAAAGTTGATATGTGAAATATTTTCTATTAGTCCGTTATTGTTTACATTTTTATCAGCCTGATATTTATATTTTCTGTTTACATTTTCGGTTAGTATCGTTTAGTATCGTTTACACTTTCGATCAGTCTAGTATTTATATTTTCTGTCAATCCGGTATTACATTTTCTTTTAAAATTAGTAAAATGTTTTCAAACGAAGAATACGATTCTAAATGTCTTTCTTTTTTTAAATATTCAACTTTCAATACTTGTATTTCTGTTAGGAAGCATTTGCGGACATATGTTTATTAGACTCTTTTTACTCTAACTAGCATCAGCAACATTCCCTTAAAATATGGGACTTTCAGTCATGGGACACTGTATATACATAGTGTGTCCCAGACCACCAGTACATCTCTTTTAAAATGAAAATAAATAGCTTTTATCAAAAATCGCGAACAATTTTTAAGTAAATCGGATACGCTGTATCAAATGGTGATATTTTCAACTTTTGATTCCGACCGGAAATACGCCATCCGGATCGGAAGTTGAATTTTTTTAGGAGAACATGGTACTTTTTATTACAGATTCGAATTGTACGTGAAAAAATAAGAAACTTTAGTATCAAACGTTTTTTTTGAACGTGCCTCTGTCAATCTTAAAATTGACCTTAAATGTAACTGTGATGAAATAATGAACTTCAATTTTAAGATTGACAGAGGCACTTTTAGAAAAAAAAAACGTTTAATACAAAAGTTTCTTATTTTTTCACGTACAATTCGAATCTGTAATAAAATGTACCCTATGCCCCTAAAAAAAAAAAAAAGAAAAGAAAAGAAAAAAAAACATATATATATATCATATTTAATTTTCTTTCAGTACCGAACGTTGCCGAAATTGTTGACAAAGACAATGGTATTCGCGTATCTACAGAGGAACAGTTGGCAAAACTAAAACCCGCATTCGTTAAACCTTACGGAAGTGTCACTGCAGCCAACGCGTCTTTCTTGACCGATGGTGCATCCGCAGCGTTAATAATGAGCGAGGACAGGGCTCTCCAACTTGGTTTAAAACCCAAAGCATATCTGCGAAATTTTACTTATGTATCCCAAGATCCAGTCGATCAGTTGCTTCTGGGTCCGACATATGCAATACCGAAGGTAAACAATTATTAAAATAAATTAAATGAAATAAACAATTATTATTAATCTCAATTAATAAATGTACATATATACATATATGATTATATATAAAGTTATTATTGATAAAATATCTCATAAGATTATCATAAGATAAGATTTATAATTAAAATAAATAAAATAAATAAATTACAGGTTTTGGATAAAGCAAAATTAGGCATAAAAGATATAGGAGTATGGGAGGTACACGAAGCATTCGCCGGTCAAATCTGTGCTAATCTGAGAGCGTTAGATTCGGATTTATTCGCGCAAAAATATTTGAATAGGAGTTCAAAAGTTGGAATACCAGATCTGAATAAATGGAATGCTTGGGGTGGATCTTTGTCGATCGGCCACCCGTTTGCTGCTACGGGAGTAAGATTAGCGACGCATACTGCGAATCGACTTATCAAAGAAGATCAACAATTCGGACTCATCGCGGCCTGTGCTGCTGGTGGACAGGTAAATTAAAAATTTATGCATAATATAAAGTAATTTTTAATATCTAGTAATTTTTGTATTATAAATTTTTTTTACTTTTTATATTTGTTAATATTCAATTTCGTAGGGAGTTGGTATGATCATGGAAAGATATCCTGGTGCTACAATTTGATCTGGTTTTTAAAAGAAATGAAACTGATGTCTAAAAATATAAAAAACAAAAATTCTGAAGGAAAAAATATTTTTTTACTGGAGAGAATAACATATAAGTGATCATCCAGTATTGTTACTGATTTTGTAAGAAAATAATTTTGTAATAAATTATTTACATATACAATAGATAAATTAAATTGTAAAATGTTACAGTGTGAGATATATTGCTCCTTTCCTGCTATTCGAGTGAGTTATGTAGAAAAGAAGGCAGTAGATTTGCGGTCAAATGATGCCTCACACCACCATCCAGTATTTCCTTTATATCCTGGCAACCTTGTAATGCGCGTTTCTTGAGCGCTTCCAAACGTGACAAGTGTAATCTCTGTCCTGCTCCATGTGCTACCACTATCAAACCACTTCCATCTACTTCAACTTCGTTATTTGTTTCTGGTAGAGCTACAACTGACAAGGTAACTCCTGGTGAACATTCCTCTACAAAATTCGCGTCTAATACTCCTGTTGCTAGTGTCTTATCTTCCTCTTCTTCTGTTGTCAGTTTGTTAATAAGAGATACGGTACAGCCTACAGCATAATTCTGTAATAAAAAATTTATTTTGTAAATAGTAATATAAAGTTTGTATTCTTTAAAAAAGCAAATATATTTTTTTAGATATCAACCTTAATTGGAATTCCAGCATCAATCAACGCAAGCGTTGATGCATTCACAGATGCGCAATAATCACTACCGTCTACTTGCAAAACTTCTACAAAAATATCAATTTGAGAGCGTGGATATAACTCTAAGTGTATTATAGCTTCCATCGCGTGGCGTAACTGAGCCGATCTCTCTTGAGACTTCCAATCCCCTCTGGGTCTTCGCTTCCGTTCTCCAGAGGTGAAACTAAATACAGCCATACTGTACTGGCAATTTACGAAAGCTTTTGTACTATTTCTTGATATGTTGCTTTTTGGCTAAATCAAGAATATAGTAGAAATATATGAATATTATATAGTTTAACAACTATGTAAAACTATTTTGAAGATCTATATTCATGTTTTATATTGGAGACAGGAAAGAGTATGAAAGAGAGAGAGAGAACACAGCAGAAAAGCTACTTGTACAGTGGACCAAAAGTCTAGATAAAGTCGAATATCTCGTATAGAATGCATTTTAGAACAAAATGCTTTAGACAAAAGTTGTAAGGATTAAAAAGATGTATTTAACTGTAATATCCATTTGACATTGAGTGGCGTCGCCAAGGTCAGGGCAGGATCAACTTGAATTTTTTAAATGGAGCCCCTATTTTTCATTTCATATTCTTGTAGCTTACCTCGAGAGCTTTCCAAAATACTATAATAAAATATATTTTTCTCTTAAGTACTTTTCGATTTATGAAGCTTGAAATTATTTCTTAATTTTACATAAATCATAAAATATCTAACAAGATATTCAATTTTCGATTATCTCACCTTATACATACTTTTATGTATAAAATAATGAAAGGAATCGATTGGTGTAAAGAAAACACAAAGTTGTTTTTGAGAAAAAATATGTAATTTGCAATTAACAATTACATATTTTTTCTCAAAAACAACTATGTGTTTTCTTTACATCAATCGATTACTCTCATTATTTCGTACAGAAAAGTATTAAGGTAAGATAATTGAAAAATGAATATCTTGCTAGATATTTTATGGTTTATATAAAATGAAGAAATGACTTCAAGCCTCATAACTCGAAAAGTACTTCATGGAAAAATAATTTATTATAGTGTTTTGGAAAGCTCTCGAGGTAAGCTACAAGAATATGCAATGAAAAATAGGGAGTTTCATTTAAAAAATTCAAGTTGACCTTGCCCTGACCTTGGCGACGCCACTCAATGTCAAACGAATATTACAGATAAATACATCTTTTTAATCCTTACAACTTTTGTCTAAAGCATTTTGTCCTAAAATTTTTCCATACGAGATATTCAACTGTATCCAGACTTTTGGTCCACCTTGTATATTGATGTAAGTCTTCTTAATTCTAAAAACGTTTTTATTGCATTCATAACTTAACTGAAATGTCACGCATTTAATAATTAACGTGCTTTTCCAAATACAATTATATGCATTTTAGATTAGTCCAAACCTGATGAGGGCCATATACAGCGGCCAAAACTTTCGTGTTGCCATGCTCGATGTAGGCACTGCCGTCAGCTTGACCAAACACTCCCATTCGCAGGCGGATCTGTCTCAATTCCAACGCCCGTCTACCATCACTTCGCAACCCACCTTGACTGTCCTCCTGATCCGGATCCGTCATTTTTCTCTCAATTGACGCTACGAATAATCAGGCACAGTGGACCCAAAACACGTGGCCCGCGCCCCCATTCATTTATTTACAAACTAGCAGGGGATATCGAACGTATCGCGCATGCCCATGGATATCGATATATCGAATGACAAAAAAGAAAGTGCAAAGAAGAAAATATACAACTTCATTTGATTGAAAAAAAATGAAAAAAAAAGAGAAAAATTCGCAGCCTAATTAAAAAGTCCGATAATGATGTATAACGCATGTGTCCAGATGATGTATCTTGAGATATATATTTGACAAATGTCACGTGCGACAAATGTCATTGGCATGTCTGTTCCCGAGGTTATCAATTCCGTGTCATTATTAGTAAACAAATATGAATTAATTCAAGGGATCATTGGAAATAATATAATCGACGAAAACTAGCCAAAAATTTTTTGTTTATTGATTACGACGTTTCGACCATATGCTTGTGGTCCTTTTCAAGTAAATAAGATCAAGTGACAGATATAAATCATAGTGTTGTAAAAAGCACAAGTCACGTTTGCACGATCATTACATCTTAATAAATTAAAAAATCGAGAGATAAAAACGATGTGTCGGTGTGAGACTTCGTCAACGAACTGATTTGTATCTATAAATTTATATCAATAAATAAACAAAAAATTTCTGGCTAGTTTTGGTCGATTATATTATTTCCAACGATCCTTTGATTAACTGACTAGCAATATTAAGATAATTATGTTCATAATTTATATTATTATATGAATTAATTCGTCCAACTTGCAGACATCATGAAGAGGATCAAAATCGTGCCGGACAGGCCCAATCGCCAGTTCGAGACCTGGTTGGAAGAATGGAGGGATCATGCGATGCTCCGAAACTCCGAGTTGTGCGGCCAGTTCACGAAGGCCTTGGATTCGCTCAAGCGATACCCGCTACCGTTGGAATCCGGCAAGGAATGCATAATCTTGCAGCATTTCGGCACAAAATTGTGCTCGATGTTGGATAAAAAATTGGAAGAGCAAAGAAGACACGAATCCGTTAAAACTATCGTTGATGCGGACTGTATTACTGCGTCCAGGAAGCAACTTCTGGATGACAAGGTTGTTGAAACGCAGGAGAAAACAGCAAGAGTCAGACAAGCTAGGAACACGAAACAGAGTGCACCGAAAAAATTGGCAAATATAGATGAAATTGCATCAAAGGAAAACGGCAGACAAATTTATTTAGAATCTAATGCCTTCGATATTATATTATTGGTGGACACTCAAGAAACTTGTGGGTGAGTAATTAAAATATATAGTCAACTTACGCTGTTACCTATAAAAAGCTTTTAGCTATATGCGATTTGTTTCAGTGGAAAAACAAAGCCTCAACATGATGCTACGCTTATGGAATTGACGCAGTTTGGTGTGTTGTTTGAAGTGCGTCGTTTGAAGATTGGCGATTTTATGTGGATTGCCAGATGTAGAAAAACGCAAGATGAATTGGTTATACCTTATATAATAGAGAGAAAACGAATGGATGATTTAAGTGCGAGTATTACGGATGGAAGGTTTCATGAACAAAAGGTATTTGTTAGGAATATAATTACCTTTTTGTACCCTTGTTTCTGCAGATTTAATTATCTGTTTGTTAATTCCATACTTCAGTTTCGATTGAAGCAATCTAAGATTGAGAATCTTATGTATATAGTGGAAAATATTGACAAGAATTCCCGATTTTCCATTCCACTTCCATCATTGTTACAAGCTTCTGTAAATTGTTTAATACAAGATGGTTTTACTGTAAAATATACAAGAAATCATAAAGATTCTATGTCGTATTTATCATGTGTGACAAAGACTCTAATTAAAATCTACAAGGTATGTAAGAAACATTATAATTGTGTAGCACATATATATCAATATAATAAAATTATAATTTTATTTTAGGATAAGAAGCTTGTTGGATGTAAAAAAGAACGTCTTCTTCAGACTAATAATTTAGATAGCACGATACGCCTTATGGAATTCAAAGAATTCAATAAAGCATCTTCAAAACAAAGAGTAAGTATTAGAAATATATATTAGAAATTTTCAAAGTAACGTAAATAAAATTTTCTCTCTCTATTTCTTTCTTTCCTTCTCTCTCTTTTTCCATGATTTTCCATTAATATTCTATTGATATTCTTTTTTTAGAAATTTAAAGTAAGCGAAATGTTTATTCGCCAACTATTACAACTGAAAGGTATGTCTGTAGACAGAGCAACAGCAATTGTAGAACGTTATCCTTCGCCACAGATTCTGATCATAGCTTTAGAAAATTCTGTTAATGGTGAGCAATTATTGGCGAACATTCAAGTCGGTGATAAAAAACGCCAGCTGGGATCTAGCATCAGTAAGACCGTTTATCAACTTTACACGACAAACGAGCTGAGTTGACTAATAAAAAAAAATGCACATTCGAATATTATTTCGTTTATACTCATCCCACTTGTAAATAATATTCGACAATCTTCGAATGCACATTTTCATCGCTATTATACATTAAAATATATCTTTCCTAGGTATTCAGTATGATCCTTTTTATAGAATTGAAAAATTATTATAATAAAAAAATTGAGGCGTAAAAAGAAAATATTTTCTCATGACTCTCTAGTTTTTCTTAAAAGTCAGAAAATTCATTATAAAGAAGTGAGATATCTTTTATACAATGTAGCACATTATCACATTATCTTCTATAAAAATAATATTCAAGCCGTAATGTTATTCGAGAAATAAAAAGGAATAAAAAGTCTGGGAAATAGCGAAAAGTTAGAAAATTTATTATAATAATTTCCTGATTTCCAGGAAAAGGAAGAGAAAATTGCGTTACATCAATTCTTTGTGCTCGTCTGCGTTTTTCTCATGGGTATAATACTCGAAGAGGTGGATCGATGCTATTAGCAATTTAATACAATTGCGGAAAGTGTGAATATGCGTATGGCAAATGAGAGAGCAATTTGCGACAATTTTATTCTCCCTTCACTGAGGGAAGTGAGAAAATTTTTTCGCGTGAAATATAGCACCGGAGAGGGAGGCAATTATGACATATTTTTTTTCGCGTGTCCCTGACTTTTCTCAGTCGTCGTCGGACCCCCAAAGCAGATGGAATTCTCCTTAGATCGGTATTACAAGTTGAATCGCCTGCTGTTGTCCGGAATCGGACTATGGCCCTATCAAAGTGCGACAAACGCTTGGATCCAACGAGTGTTCGCAATTTCGTTTATGATCTGGGGCGTAATCGTTCAGGTATCCTGATATAAAAAATCTATACTGTATTTTGAACGTTTTGAATCTTTTATTGAATTTTATCCACTTGAATATTCATATCTTAATTTAATCGATAGACATAAATTTCTATTTGTCCTACAATCCCAGGTAGACAGTGTTTGCTGGTATCTAGATAATAAAATTATCTAGATAATCATAGATAAAGAAATGGATCATCTTTATCTTTAACTAGATGAAGAAATCAAAAGACAAAGTATCTTTATCTTTATCTTAGATGAAAAATATATGTCTTATCTAAAAATTGTCTAAGATGACGCTTTCCAAAAATCTAAAGCAAGTTTCTAAAAATCTATCTAAAATATCTAAAATATATTTTTATATATTATTATTATTAATATATTATAAATATATTATAAATATATTATAAATATAAATTAATAAATAAATATTTATCATATCATTTATATACTTTTTTGTTATTATTTAAATATTCTTTAGGAAAAGAGAAAGAATATGTGTTTATGATTTTAATATCCCATTTAATCTGTGTCACATTTTTTACAAATATTTATAGTCTTCTAAAATAAACAAAAATATCTAAATAATTATTTAGATTATCGCAATAATTATCTCATCTTTCATCTAGATTAAGTAAAAGCAAAATCATCTTTATCTCATCTAAGATAAATTTACGGATTTTTATCTTTATCTCTATCTAGATAATTTTGAAATTATCTACAGCAAACACTGCAGGTAGAACATGAAACTCATAATGACATCAATATGACGTCATCATGATTTTATTTATCACTTAAAAGTTTCCTAAACAAAAATGATTAAAAAATGAGTTAAAGGTGACAAAAAGAATCATAAATTTTTAAGTTCAATAATCGCATTATATAATTTTAAAAAGATTATGTTGCTTAAATATAATTAAAATATACATGAATAATTAAATAAACAAGTAATTGCGTAATATATATAAAAAATGATATTAATAAGTTACCAAAACATTGCCAAAAGTATATCAATTGAGATCATTATGATTTTTCTAAAAACTTAGGTGACTTTTAGGTGACGTCATAATGAGTTTCATGTTCTACCTAGGATGGCTTTCTTATAAAAAAACAAAGAATAAGTAATGGAAAATAAATGCTTTTCTAGATAGCTAAGATGTGTATGTCAGAATTAACAATGGATTTTACACTCGATTGTTTGCCCATTCTCATCCCTAATATTGGCATACTATTGCAATTTATTGATCGTATAATAATTAATGACAAAGTAAGAAATATTATTATTTAATATGAACGTTTCTGTGTAACTGAACAAAATGTAATATAATAAATAATATCGTTTTTTCTCGTTACAATATGACTTGCGAATGGAATGAGTGTTTTAATTTGCAGCTGAAAAGTTTACTCGATCATATTAAAATCGATTGGGAACGCACCCGCTCTCGGAATGATATTAAAATTATGCGAAAATATGCAGCGAGCGCAAGATTAATCACGATATTATTTTCGTGTAAGTGGAATCATGGAATCTGAGAATTGCAAAATGCAAAAGAATCATGCAACAAAATGTTTAATAAAAAAAAATCCTTAAAAATAATTTACAGTAATTTTCCCTTACAAAATCATTTTTCAAGTATTTAAGAGTAATTTTTAAACTTGATATAATATTTGAAATCAATTTTACATTGTAGAAATATTACACATAAATTCTCCCTAAGAAATTAAAACGCATTTTATATTTATTCAGAGAAACTTGATTTTTAAAATATTTAAAATCAACATTAAATGAGAATTAGGATTTCATAATATTCGAGAAATTGATATTTTATATAATCATTATCATATTATTATTTATAATAATATTATAGATAATAATATAATAATAATAATATTATTATCTATAATATTATCGTTTCTGCACTGAGGGAAAAATTTTTTTAAATCAAATAAATTTGTTTTCTTGAAACTTTTGCTTTAAATGCAAGGAATTGTTTATTTCATTTAAGCAAAAGCATTTAATTTTAATTAAATATGCATGTTATATTAAGTACATTATTTTAATTTATATATTTTTTATATTTAAATATTATTTTCGTAAAATATATACTATAATTTATTAAATTAAATATATTATTTTTTAAAATTAAAAAATTTAAAATTGTTGGGAATAAAAAATGCATTTTAATAAATATTTTGTAAAATTAAAATAAAAATATTTAATTAAAAATTATATTTTTTTAAGCATATATATTTTTTTAAACTTATGTAAATAAATACTTAACTTAAGCAAATAGACGTTTTGAATACAAGTAAATACGATTAGTGACCCACCGAATAAATAGCTTTCTTGAGTTAACTAAAATTTTTTTATTTCAATCATTTTTTTCTCAGTGTGATATTTCATTCAGAGAATAATTGTTTTTAAATTTTTTGTCGATACGTAATTGATGAATTTTAATTGACTTTATGTTTTTCAGTTTATACAACGATGGGTTTAAGTGTGTATATCTTTATCACGATCCTCCCGCAAATTCTCGATGTATTTCTACCATTGAACGAGACACGTTCGCGTGAACATCCATTTCGCATGGAGTTTTTCATAGATGAAGAGAAGTTCTTTTATCTTATTCGAATTCAAATGTATCTTATAATAATATTAATGATGGTAACAATTCTTGCGAACGGGACCGTGTTCGTTGTTTACACGCGACATGCCAGTGGAATGTTTACTATACTAGGGTACTGCGCTTTCTTCTATACATTTTTAATATTTATAAAATGTGAATTTTCTTATATTAACATTACTCAACATTTAATATATTTGCGATCGTGCTTAGCTCTTGATCAGTTTTTAATTGTGAGAAATAACTATTATGCATAATCACTAAATGCATAATTATTTTCATATTCATTAATTATATGAAAATATAACAACACTGGAATATATAATATATAACAATAATTTAAAAAAATGTATATAATTATACAGGGTGTCCTATTTTAATGTCCCAGCCCAAATAATTTTCTTATGTTTAATTTTAGAAAAAGATGTTTCAGACAAAAGTTATATGGTTTCTAGGGGGACATAAGATGGTGCCATTAGTTTGATCTTGAAGAGTCACATGAAGGTTACGTGAAGATCATTTTGAATTTCTTAAATAGAACACCCTATATATTTTTGCATATTCTTGTAGCTTATCTCGAGAGCTTTCCAAAACACTATAAATAAATATTTTTTCATCAAGTACTTTTCGAGTTATGAGGCTTGAAATCATTTCTTAATTTTACATAAACCATAAAATATCTAGCAAGAAATATTCATTTTTCGATTATCTTACCTTAATACTTTTATGTACAAAATAATGAGAGAAATCAATTGGTGTAAAGAAAACATACAGTTGTTTTTAAGAAAAAATATGTAATTTGCAATTAATAATTCCATATTTTTTCTTAAAAACAACTGTATGTTTTCTTTACACCAATTCATTCCTCTTATTATTTTGTACATAAAAGTATTAAAATAATCGAAAAATGAATATTTTACAAGATATTTTATGGTTTATGTAAAATTAAGAAATGATTTCAAGCCTCATAACTCAAAAAATACTTCATAAAAAAATCTTTATTTATCGTGTTTTGGAAAGTTCGCGAGATAAGTTACAAGAATATGCAAAAATATATAGGATGTTCCATTTAAGAAATTCAAAATGACTTTCACGTAACCTTCATATGACTTTTCAAGGTCAAATTAATGGCACCATCTTATATCCCCCTAGAAACCATACAACTTTTGTCTGAAACATTTTTTCGATTTTTCATTATTTTCCGAAATATTTGCCTGGGGAAATTAAAATGGGACACTCTGTATAAGTTAACGTTGAACAAAGAAGTATGGTGATCAATCAGAAAACATATATAATACTGAAAAGATGAACCTGCTCACAGATATGAAGGATTCAATCCAGGAAGAGATAAATCCACTCGTGTATCCGTTTTATTTTAAATATATTAATATAATTACATTGCATTAAAAAAAGATAGATTTTCTGAAACGTGTATTTATCTCATCTTGCATCTCTCTTGCATTGAATCCTTCACTTAGAATTACGTATTGCAAATGTATTGTTTTGTAGGAACCGCGCAGAACATTTATTTAGCGAACGTTCCTCCAAGTTTGGGCGATCCAACCGTAGGACTGAAAAAGAATACAGGAACATTGTTCTCTTTGTCGAGGATCATCGCAACGTTATACAGTTAGTAATCTCTTTACAGTAATGTTGATGTCTACAAGATAAATACAAAGTGATAATGATAAAATGAGAGAGATATCTCTTCTCGTTTCTCTTTCACAGGTACGTTCTACACCGAGTAAATATGTGACACACTGCAAGTACCAATTTTTCTTATCGAGACTAAGACTTGATCACATTTTATTAATCCGCCAACGTTTTTGCGTTACTAAGGTTTGTGGACGTTATTCGATCGAGCTACAGCCTTAGCCTCTTTGGTGAATATTTGTTCTTTATGATTGTGATAGGCCTGACACTGGTACAAGTGAGTGTTCTACACATTAAATTAATTAATCTATAATTTTCTCCGTACGCGCGTGTAAGTAAAATCGTTAAACGAAATTAAGGATGTTTTGTATGTACAATCCCAGCAAAAAGTAGTTGAAAATCAATATTGACAAATATATCCACTTTTGGTGTATTTTGGAATATTACAATTTGATCTTAGCTACAGTGCAGAGATCTATTTTTTAATATTTATTGCGTTTTTACTGAAATATTCCGAATTTTGTTAATCGAAATGATTAACTTTTAGCAGAGAATTTCGCATTATGACAGATACATGGCTAACTTCATTGAATTATATTTAATATCTTTTTAACCAGTTAGCACTCGTATAATATTATTTGACCAAATATTTCGTCTGTATCTAAACTTTTACAAATTTTAAACAAATTCTGAATATTATTTCCATGTGTTTTTGTTATTTGAATCGATGTGGTTATACATTTTCTATAAGAACATATGTCAATTCGGTGTAAATTAAAATCCTTATAATTTGTGAATGCTTTAGTGAATCGATTTAAAAATTGTATTGAAGATTCTAAACATATGTAAGGACATTCTGTACAATTTTCATTAAATTCTCAATATTTTGAAAATAGGTACAAAACATTCTTAACTTGCAATTTGAGAAAAAAAGAACTCTGAGAAGAAGCGATAAAAGACAAATCAGTGTAGTCGAACGTTGTTGTTTAGATAATTAAATTCTCCGGATTATCAGATCGGCCAATTAGATCTATAGCTTTCATGGTCGGACAATTATTTTATCTGCTTATGTTTAGTTATATGGGTCAGCATATAATTGACACAAGTATCGAGTTGTCCACGAAGATGTGAGTATCGTGAAAAAAACGCGTGAATATTTCGCACAATTTTAATATATTCATCAATATATCTACACGCACATTTTTTCGCGCTCGTTTCACGCGCGATATTTTATGAAACGAAAAGTGTTTATATATAAACATATAAAAAAAATGTTTATAAAAAATGTTTAATGTGTTTATATATAAACATAAAAAAAACGCTTTAATCGACGTAAACCTCGTAGATATTGCGGAAAATGGCACAATATGTCTGTGTGGAAGCAAAAAATTATGTTATTCATTATGATAAGATGTATGCGAGCGGTTTCCATTAATTCATACAGTATATATACCCTGAGTTTAGAAACTTTCGCAATGGTAAGCAATATCGACGATATATCCACGATTATAAAATGTTCTCCCTTTCCTCGATAATGTCACTGCGACTTTTGTTTCAAGATCGTACAATCGGGCATATCGATTTGCATGCTGCTGATAAGTATATGAGACAAAGAATTCGTAAATAATACGGAAATAGCACCTAATAGCGTTTTTGTATGTATTCGATATACATAAAATCATCACAATACATCTTTTTTTACGTTTCAAACCCAAAGAGAAAATCGCTCCTCATTTTTCCCATCTTATTCGAATACGCATTTGCGAAGATAGCCGTTGATATCCAAGAAACTATTCCCTCTTCCCTGTGCGTAATAATATAAATTATTTACATAATTTCGCGCTTTGTCACGCGAATTATATTACGAGCTATAATTGCAAATTATTTCTTCATACGTTTTCGTTTCTGACGATCGATCCATAAAATTATCATGCGTTTTCTTCAACGCACTTTTCCTCAAGATATACATAACACATTAAAACAATTTAAGTGTAAATGTGCAGTGTAATACAAATATGTCTACCATTTTCTTTTAATTCTAAACAGAAAAAGAAAAAGAGAGAGGGGGGGGGCAGCACACAAATTTTTATTAAATTATATTTATTTATTAAATTATATTTAATTTTTATCAAATTTTTATTAAATTATTTATAATATATAATTATTATATATTATATATATTAATAATTATAATTTTTATTAAATTATTATTTATGGAAAGATTTTCAGAACTTTTGAAAAATAAAACATTGATCATTGAAATTGCAATTAAATTGCGATGATAAAAAATGAACATAATAAAATAGTTTTACTTACTGCATGAAAGCTTTCGATGGACGGAGCTGCGATATTCTGGACCAGCAGTAAATCTGTATGATGACACTGGTTTATTCATTAAGAGAAGGACTTTTTGATGTCTTTTCGAAATGTAATATCAATTTATTCTGCAATTGAAAGAAGATTAATTTTGATTTAAACGAATAGTGAAAAATCAAAAAATAATATTTGTCTTCACATTTATAGAGAGAGAGAGGGGGGGAGAGGGGGGAGAGAGAGAAAATCAAAATGCAAGTTACATGTGTGCAATTATTGATATCATTTCAATAAATCACACCATAAAAAATATAATGACGTGACAAACTTTTCGATTCATTGAGGATTTCCTCGATATTTCAAAATAAAAAAAAGAATTAGACAAATATTATTTATAATATTTGATTATGAAAATACTATAATAATAAAAATACTATAAATATGATAACGGCATATGTATTCTTATATAGATTCGATCACTATAATTTAGTGGAAATTGAGTTTGAAATCGGTAGCTCACTAAATATTGCAGATGATTGTAAAAGAATAATGATGCAGATTTTTCAATGATTCTTCTTTAGACGAACTATATATAGATGCAACTATTTATACATTTTTCTTTCAACTCAATCAGCATAGATACAACACAGTAATCGTGAGAAGATAAATATGTGTTTTACCTGTATATATTTCCTTCTGTGTCTGCATCTTCATAATTTCTCATTATAACTTTCTCCGCGAAGATTTATACTTTTTTTCGTTATCAGTAACATGCACATGAAATCAATTTTCAGGCAAGATTTTTAATATCGGATAATTCCATTTTCGGAAACTTTATGCTTTTGAAACAATTAGAAAAGTAATAATAAAATAATAATAATAGCAATAAAAGAATAATAGAAGAAATGCAGCAAATGGATGTGAGGAGAATATGAAACAACTAGTATTAATATATTTCGATGTCTCTGAAATTTAAGTCCAAATTAATGCTACGTTATTAACATTAATACACATAAGATGTATTGCCGATGAACTGTGAATTCTACAATATTCATAAATACATGATTTGTAGACCATATTTCAATCACAGTCCGATGTTCATTTTCAGAAAGACAGTAAGAAAAAAAGACAAAGAGATCTCATATATACAATTTTATTATACTAAAAAAATTTATTATTAACAACTACCTCTCGAGATGATAATATTATCACTGGAAGGAACGTAATACCATTAAATAAGACATCGACGTTTTGAGAACCTTTAAAAAAATATCAAATCTTTCGCCGTATATTTTTTTTATAATTATTCAAAATGTTATGTATATGAATAATTATAAAAAATAAATACAAGTGTAAATAAATACAATTTTATTTTACCGCGCCAAAACTCTCGATTGACAAAGTCACGACCTTGCCGGCAGTTATTTTGCAGGGTAACATAGTTCTGCTCATAATTAATATAAGGATCTTCTTACATTTTCGTGAAGTACAATACCATCTTGCTCTACAACTGTAACATAAAACAAGATTCATGTTATTCTGGATGGCAACTAGTAACAAAAACATTTATATCTATAACATTTACGTTTTGTGATAAAAGAATTGTCTGATTTAATACAAAATGATTAATACAAAAAATGATTTAATACAAAATTGAATCGTAGTGTATGTATGCGAGTGCCTATATTACATATAAAATACGAAAGAATTGATTAAAAATACATAAAAATAAAATAAAAATAATAAATAATAAATAAAAATAAAATAAAATAAAAATAAAATGAAAATAAAATAAAAATAAAATAATAAATAAAAATAAAATAAAATAATAAATAAAAATAAATAAGAATAAAATAATAGTATCACATAGTTCAAAGAACTAACATAGATTCGTATGGGACATCGTTGGAGTTTAACAGAAATTGGCCCTGCCAGAATTGTAGAAAGAGAATAGTGAGTTGTGCAAAATAAACAGACAGAGGTGTTGCAATATTGCCCGCCCCGTTTAAATTCATTATCACCTGGAAGACAAATTTAACCTCTTAAATCGAAACATTTCTTGATTTCAATAATAATTAATTGATTTTCATATGGAACATATATATATATATATATATATATATATATATATACAAGGTGTCCCGAAACTATCGCTTCATATTTTAGATTCTCTGGACCATTTAAAAACGATTTTTCCTCAGCGAAAATGTCGAGGCACTAATAGTTTTCGAGTAATAAATGATTGAAAATAAAGGTTTTTCTTATGGGAATAAAATATTAATAAAGTCACTAGTTCTTTAGTTAATTTTAGGTAGAGTTTACTTTAATAGAATTTTAATTTAAGGCTCAGTTAGAAAGATACATGATGACAAAAATTGGAAATATGCAAAAAATAATGATCTCCTTCGACATTTTCGCTGAGGAAAAATCGTTAAATTGCCAGAGAATCTACCTTTAAAATATGAAGCGATAGTTTCTGGACACCCTGTATATATATATATATATATATATATATATATATATATGTATGTATGTATGTATAAATATATTTATGTATATATAGGGTGTCCCAGATCACCTGTGTATCCCTATAGAATGAAAATAAATAGTTTTTATCAAAAATCGCGAACAATTTTTAAATAATTCGGGTACGATCTATCAAATAGTGATATTTTGAACTTTTGATTCCGACCGGAAATACGCCATCCGGATCGGAAGTTGAATTTTTTTAGAGAAACATGATACTTTTTATCATAGATTCGAATTGTACGTGAAAAAATAAGAAACTTTTGTATCAAACGTTTTTTCTGAAAGTATTTGTCAATCTTAAAAATGACCTTGGAAATAACTGTAATGAAATAATGAACTTTCAATTTTAAGATTGACAGAAGCACTTTCAGAAAAAACGTTTCTAAAAACGTTTTTAAAAAAGTTTCTTATTTTTTTACGTACAATTCGAATCTGTAATAAAAATATACATATATACGAGTATATAGCAATGTTCCGAAAAAAAACTGCTCGAAATTGCAGATTGAAATACTGTCTTTCTCTCTTTTTATCAACTATTGATCATAATTAAGTTATTAAATTTCTTTGGTTGCTGCAAAGAAAAATACCGATTCATACCTGTATACCAGAGAAACTGCCCAGCACCATATTACAACTTATAGTGAACAAAAACATATTCGTAAATATAGATTCGATTAATCCGGCAAATCTGCAAAATCACGAATCTTAACGTATTTATACATAACATAATCGAAAATACCGATTTTTATAAAGGATATTATTTGCTTAAGAAAATAATTAACAGTAGAAGGAAAAGAGAGAGACAAGCAGATTATATTATTAACATGTAATACGTCACTCTAATACGTGAAGATGTCTACGTAAACATTCCAGTGCTATACCGTAATTGTTATCTTTTATATTGTTTTCCTCTAAATTGGCGTCATCATTTTTGCCAATATTCTCCAGCATGTGTCTGAAAGCGTACAAGAAAGGGTTGAGGGAAAATATTTTTGTCTTAAATTTTATCATCAATTTTTGGTCGTCTTTAATATGCTCGATATTTTTACCCAATAATTGAAAACATTCCGCAGGCATGCTGGATAACAGTATAATAAAAGCTATCAACCGCGACTGTTGCGACAAGATGAGCGAATACAGCTAGACAACAGTGGATCATTATTAAATAAAAATATTGATCCAATTTTTCGCCATATTCGACCCGAAAGGGAAATTTCGATGCTCTTGATATCGATGATTTTGTTATGTTCTCGATATCGTTTTCCATTAGCGTCGTGATGACAGGCTTAAGTAAGTGAAACAATGCCGGGACAAGTATGATTACTAAAAATTTACGCGTACAATATATTTTATATATAAGTTAATTCTCCCTTTAATAAATAATTAAAGTTACCATGATATGTTAAATATATCAAAAGCATTCTTTTACAGAGAATATATGTGCAATATAAAAAGACGAGAACAAGGAAAGAAAATTTTTTGTGAATTTCTTTCACATTTTTTCTAGATATTTTTATACTCAATATTGAAACATTTATAATAAAAAAAATCATATCTCTGTAGGACATGAAAGGCGTCTTTCCAAAAAATGTAATTTTATCAATATATCAAAAGCATTCTTCTAAAAAGAATATATGTGCAATATAAAAAGACGAGAACAGGGAAAGAAAATTTTTTATGAATTTCTTCCATATTTTTTCTAGATATTTTTATACTCAATATTGAAACATTTATAATAAAAAAATCATATCCCTGTAGGATATAAAAGGCGTCTTTCCAAAAAATGTAATTTTATCAATATATCAAAAGCATTCTTCTAAAAAGAATATATGTGCAATATAAAAAGACGAGAACAAGGAAAGAAAATTTTTTGTGAATTTCTTCCATATTTTT